TTGTGGGTCGGTAGGCATAGCGCATAGACTGTTGCTCCCGCTGTGTAGGCGGGGGCGTTTGCGGGTGAAGCTTGCGTCGGCGTCTTCAATTGAGTCGCGGCGCGGCGGCGAGGCAGAGGCGGTGGTTGGCGGCTCGTCTGCAGCGACAGGCTGCACTGTGTCGTTGTCCGGCGCGGTCATGACGGTAGAGGGCAGGCGGTGCTGTTTGCGAAAGGACTAGGCGTGGCCGGCGACTGTTAACACGCGTGCAGGCAGGTGAGGCCAGGCAGAGGCAAGCAGTTCCCCAGTACAGGCAACAGCAGCAGCTCCCAGCCTTAGTGACCGATAGCCCCGCGCGGCGGCAGGGAAAACGCGGGGGGATTGGGTCTCATTAGCGTCAGCGACTGCAACACAGTGAATTGAGGGTATGCGCTCCGAAGGAAACGGTTCCAGTTGGTAGGCAGAGCTTCAGATATTCGGACGCGTAGCTGAGAAACCCCACTATCGTCATCCTGGTTCGTTCCCGCTGTGGAGCTAGCGCGCCGCTAGTGAGGGAGCGCTAAGCTTTATCCGTCCAAGAGCGAGAAATCCTCCTTCTAATGCAAGGCACGCCGGTCTACTCCACCTTACAAGTCTCACTTATCTAGACTGAGTACTGACAAGACTTCGGGCGCACTTCGGTCAGCTTGAAAACTACTTTTGCTGTTTCGACGTTGACGACGTGACCATCACCACGGTCAGTGGTACGAGGAAGAAGGGTCAGAAAGCACACAATTCGTCATGGCCCCTGCGACGAAACAAACCGCGAAGGCCAATGCAAAACCTGTGTTCAAGACATCATCGACATTTTCTGAGACGCAGTGGTGGGTGGTACTATGCCTCAACCCACGAGCTATGCTGATTTGTACAGGCCCGAGATCACACGCGAGGACGAAGAAGTCATATTAGAATTGCTATCCAAGTAGGTACGCAGAGAGGAGCTTCATGAACCCGCGCTCGCCGATTTCTGACAGTTGCATCACAAGTTCTCCCAATTCGGTCATTAACAATTCCATAGTCTTATTACGCCTTTAGGTGACCATCGCAGAACCTATATCCACCCATCCAAAGGCAAGAAGCGCAAACGTAACACCAAGGCAAACGAGGATGGCCCCGAGAACACACCCCCATCACCGGAAATTGGCAATCACTTGCTCGTTGGCATCAACAGTGTCACTCGGCATCTAGAGGCCTTGGCCGCAGAAAACGCTCCGACTACAGCACCTGTTTCGTATCCCGAGTCTGCTCTAGAGGGCACCAAAGAAAAACCCCCGACGACAGACTGTTCCAAAGAATCTCTCAGACCTTTAAGCATGGTCATACTAACACACCCCAAGCCCTCATTATCACCCGCACATGCCCACTTCCCAACGTTGGTCCACTTGTCGGCTCTCTCCCCATCATCTCCTGCTTCGGCCACATCCGAGACAGCTACACGACTCATTCCATTGCAGACAACAGCGGATACCCGGCTCGCGTCTAGCTTACACGTTCCCCGCGTAGGTGCCTTGGGAATTTACACAGGTGCGCCGGGAGCGAAAACATTGGAGCTATACGTCCGCGAGCACATTGGGCTGACAGAGTGCAAGTGGGTCGGCGAGGCTATGAGCGCAGAGTGGAAGGGATTGAATGTCAATAGCGAGATCCCTGGCTCAAAGTAGGTGACAATATAAGGGCAAAAATAATATTGGGTTCTTTGGTATAGATATATTTCGACGCTCGTGAGGGATCAACAAAACGCCTGCAATGCACATTCTTCAAGTTCAATAGCTGCTCCTGGTAGATCAGTGATTGTTCGAAGAAAAAAGAGTACTGCGCTCATCCCAGGAAGTTCTGGACAGCACCTCCGACGTTCTGAAGATCTAGCAAGAACGTGTCATGGCCGAATAAGCTCTTCTCCTCTCCAAGCTCGATGTGCGTGACGTTCTTGTTGCCAGTGCGCTTGAGTGTCGTTGCAATTTCCTTTTGCTGCCAAGCAGGGAAAAGAATATCACTGGCGACACCTAGAACAAGAGTTGGAGTATTCGCGAGTGGCTTCAGACCTGCCACGAGGTCGGCCGGTGGTTCGTTTCCGTCAGTCTGAGCTACAGCATCGATGTCGGCGGGCTGCTCCTTCTCCTCATAGGGCTGATCAGGCAAAGTCAGACTGCAGACGGAGCTGCTGGTGTCGGATGTGATATCATGGCCGTCCAAGTATGCCTGCATTTTACCGCTGTTCGCCTTGCGCACCTCGTTGATGCGGTTACGGTGCTCTTGTCCCAGATCGAATAGATCCATAGCCTTCGAAACGTAGAGCAAGCTGTTTGGATCGTACTCCAGACACCATTTTTCTCCCGCATGATCGAGGTATGTTTCAATGAGGAAGTCGGGGCAGAGAGCAGGTGGCCGCGAAGGATCGGCACGCCGGCGGCCAAATCGCTGCTCCCATTCGGGACCACTCCGATACGTGACTGTAGCGATTTCTCGGGCAAGCTTCATACCGCCGTGTGGAGGAATGCCGTCATAGTAAAAACCGCGAGCCCAGTTGGGGTCCATCATGAGTACTAGTTGCACGTCAACGATTGCGCATGGCTGACCTAGAGTGTTTGTACTGACCTTGCCGCTGAGTGTGTCTCATGGCGATACTGTATGGGTGGCTGCGCGCACATCCGCTGATGCTAACGAGACGGCCCACTCGTTCCGGGAAAAGCGTTCCAGCTGCCAGACTCTGCATGCCACCCATGCTCGATCCTACACTCGCGTACAGCTTCTGTATGCCGAGGTTATCCAGTAGTCGGAACTGCGCGCGTACCATGTCCTCCATTGTAAGAATCGGAAATCGAGTCGCGTAACGCTCGCCGTTCGCAGGGTCGATCGAAGAAGGCCCAGTCGAGCCGTAGCAGCCTCCAATGACATTTGTGCAGATGACGAAATACTTATTGGTGTCTAGAGGCTTCCCAGGCCCAATGAACTTCTCCCACCACCCTGGCTTCGTATTCGTCTCTGTGCTGTGGGCATGACTAGATGCGGATAATCCAGTGTGCAGCAAGATGGCATTGCTCCTGTTGGAGTCCAGCTGCCCCCACGTTTCATATGCGATGTTGAACTCTGGCAGTATGCCGCCCCAGTCGAGCAGAATAGGCTGGGTCGAATGGAAGTTTAGCGTGTGTCCGGAGGTATACGAGGGCTCGGGCCCTGAGGACGCTCGTTTTCTTGAGAGAGACGCAGAGCGAGACTCGTGCGCGTCGAGGCATGGGAAGGATAGGGCGGGGTTTGAAGATTCGACTTCTTGGGCGGCAGCGGCGTGTTGGGCTTTCCGTGGTGTCTGCTGGTGCAGCTGTCTAGTAGCTTGGTTCGACTGCTGCCTCGCGAACAGCAGCGAAGTCTGAGATGGTCTCTTGGCGAAGCATCGAGTAGTGGTTGCGGTTCGTGATGCTCGCGCGCTGGCGAACAAACTACGGGGAACGCTCATGGCTGTAGCAGTTGCCCAGATGAAGCGCGTATCAAGGGCAGATGTATGCGAGGGTGGAGACAGTACAGAGACACCATGATGACGCTATATTCACGATTACAAACGGGCTGGACCGTTGACGGACCCGTCGCGCGGAAACTGATGGGAATGCGACGATGTCGGATCCAATGACGTCGCGGGGAAATTGCGTGCTTCCCTCGCACGATGCCCGTCCTGCCAGCCTTCTTTAGGTAAGCACCCGCCTCTACGAAGACCTCGGGAACATCACGCCAAAAGACACCGTGCGCAACATGACCGAATCGAGAGATATCGAACGGGGAAGCACATGTCGGTCCCCAGCGGAGATGTTCGGCGGCATAGCTTCTTGCGCATCACGCCTCGAGACCGCTCCTTGAACGAACCAAACGATAACTCAGCAGAACGCAAGGTGCAACTTGAGCTCCTACACCCATTCGCATTTTGCTAAGACCTACCTACATTTGAGGCGTTCATCAATGTCTGCAGTGCTTTTGCCGCACAGAACTTGAGGAGCACAAGAAATGTGCTAGCATGCAGTCCAGGACCTAAGATTCGAGAGCACCTGTATGTAGGCTCGCAATCGAGATGTACCATCCAAGTATTGCTTGGATCGCCTACATCACCAGGAACGAGATAACCCGAGCAGTATGCATTGTGGTTTGGTTGATTCGAAGAGTACCAAGGTAGAATGTTCGGGCCTTGGAAACATCATGTCGAACTTAGGGCGATCGATCGAGCTCTTACGACAAGAACCGTGCACGTCTTCTAATGGGAAAAGGAGGTGCAGGGCGTGACCGCCATGACATGTTAGTTATTGAGTTGCAACAAGGGTCGCTTGTGATGGCGAGATACCGTAGCCGGCTCGTGACTCTAAGCGCCGTGCAAATGGGTGCTCAGGTGGTGTTGTACTGTGCCTAAGGCGTACACGGTGCATCTCTGCGTGACAGGTGATGGCGGCTGAAGATACATGGAAGGAAAACTGGACCGCTCCGTGCTACGCAGCACTCGAGGGTGCGGGTCTCAGCCATTGGTTTTGCGCTTGTTGGTGTCGAAGGAACCACGGCGGTTTGGCGTTCGCAAAGACAATACAATGGCATGAAACATGATGGCCTGCGCCAGACCCCTTGGGACGTTTGACGACGAGCGTCTAATTATGGACTGCACGCAAGACCGTGGACGCAGCACAGGAGATTTACCATGCAGACTAGGCTCAGTCGTCTCAAGTGCATATGCAGGGATGGTGATGTGAAGCTTGGAAATGGACGTCTGAGGTTGCCAGGGCTGAGAGATGTCTTGGCTGGCCGCCGGCGTCACTCAGTCGCGCCTGCCCACTCGAAACCTCCGCAGACCTCCTTCCCTTCGTTCCAGCGTGACTGCCGCCATATTTGCGCCCCGTTGGACGACATCGATACCCGTCCGCCGCCCCTGCCGTTCTGCCATTCGCTGCTACACAGAGAGCGCCGTGCCGTCTAGGGAACGCCATACCGCTTCCGAAGTCTGCAAGACCGCCGTCATGGACTCGTCAGACTACTTCACACCCGTCCGGGAAGACCGAGATGCCCCAGGGCCGCCGACTGAAGACTCTGACACCGACATGGCCGCCTCTGCCACCGCTACAGCCTCGTCCTCGCGCTCCACCATGTACACATCACCACACCCGCGCAAGCCCGGCCGCATGTCTCGATCGGGAGCACCACGGCCCATACTCACTCCCAACAGCCCCCTGAGCTCGACGATACCGCACAATCTCCTCCCCTCTGCGCCGGCCTCACCGCCTACGCCTGCGCCGAGTCCGACACCGACCCAGCGGGTGCCCGACTGGAGCACCGCCGCCGAACACGAAGATGGAGACATCAAGAGCATACGGGCGCAGTTTGGCGACATGAACAGAGCCGAGCGGATGCGCCTGCTGGGCGAGCTGCTCAATTTGTGCGACAGCCAGGAGCTCAGCTTTGTTGCCGAATTCGTCAGTCCTAGATTGAAGAAGGACCCCTTCATGGTTCTGCCTACCGAACTCTGCTTAAGAGTGCGTTTTGTATACATTCCCCGTATAGTCTCGATCGCTGACACATCGCACAGATCCTGGAATGTGTAGACGACCCCACTACCCTCGCTCGGGCATCGCAGGTATCCAAGAAGTGGCGCGAACTCGTCAATGACGACAGCGCCTGGCGGTTACTGTGCCAGAAGTACTCCTTCAGGGCTCTGTCGAGAGAAGAAAGAATTGAGGAAGACGACACAACCGACGAGATGGAGGACACCGACTCAAAGTCATGGTGGCAGAACGACGAGCGCGCACCGAGGGTAGAGGACGTCGCTACGAGAGAACACCTTGAGGTCGGCCCGTCCAACGGCGGTGCTGATGGTCTGCGGACGCAGAGCCTGGACCGAGCCGCGAAGAGGAAACCTTCACAACGAAAGCAACAAGCAACCACATACCGGTCGCATTTCAAGCAGCGGTACATGGTTGAGACGGCGTGGCGGAATGGAGGAGTGTGCGATGCGCGGCAGATTACTCCGGATCAGGGCGTAGTAACCAGTCTACACCTGACCAACAAGTACATTGTGGTTGCACTTGACAACGCGAAGATCCACGTCTTCGATACTGTCGGCGACCATCAGAAGACGCTCCAGGGACACGTCATGGGTGTATGGGCTATGGTGCCTTGGGGCGACCTTCTAGTCAGCGGTGGATGCGATCGCGATGTGCGCGTCTGGAATCTTGCAACTGGGTAAGTTGTTCTGCCGTCTTCCCCATGATAGCAACTAACAGAGGTTGTCAGCTTTCCCCAGTTCACTCTGCGCGGTCATACTTCGACTGTGCGATGCTTGAAGATGTCCGATGCGAACACGGCTATATCCGGCTCAAGGGATACCACACTGCGCATCTGGGATCTCAAGAAGGGCCTATGCAAGCATGTACTCATTGGTCACCAGGCTAGCGTCCGATGCCTCGAAATACACGGTGACATCGTTGTGTCCGGCAGCTACGACACCACAGCCAAGATTTGGAGCATATCCGAGGGCAAGTGCCTGCGCACACTCACTGGCCACTTTAGTCAGATATATGCGATCGCCTTTGACGGGAAGAAGATTGCAACAGGCAGTCTGGACACCAGTGTCCGGATATGGGATCCCAATGATGGGTAAGTCCGCTCGCGTGCCACAACATTATCGAAACTAACTCTCTCGTGTAGCAAATGCCTCGCTGTACTACAGGGCCACACCTCGCTTGTCGGGCAGCTTCAGATGCGTGACGACATTCTTGTAACTGGTGGATCAGACGGCTCGGTCCGCGTGTGGAGCCTCGCAACGTACCAGGCTATTCATCGACTAGCTGCCCACGACAACAGCGTTACGAGTCTACAATTCGACAACACCAGGATTGTCAGCGGTGGCAGCGATGGTCGCGTCAAGGTCTGGGATCTAAAGACCGGTGTCCCCGTCCGAGAGCTAAGCAGCCCTGCCGAGGCCGTTTGGAGGGTGGTGTTTGAGGAAGAGAAGGCCGTCATAATGGCCAGCCGGGGCGGTCGGACAATCATGGAGGTAAGCTTGAAGCACGCAATTACTATTACCACAACATACTAATCCGTCTAGGTATGGGACTTCTCGCCCCCTGCCGAAGAGGACTTCGACTCCCGATCCTCTACACCAGCGAGCATGCCCGATCATCTCGCCGAATACAACCGGCCGCGGTCCGCCATACTTCCTGCAACTTCACCGCTCGTGCAGGATACGGGCGCTGGCGACGTTACCATGGGCGACGCAAGCGATTCATAATACAACAATAGACTTGCAGAGCACTAGCAGTGCAGTAAAGGCCGTTAGGCGCTGTCATTCCATCGCCGCCGGAGCTCGCATCCAGGGCCTCGACAATAGCTGGAGGCTTCCACACGGGGAGGTCCGGTAGAAACCGATATGGACAGCACTAGTCGAGTTACAAGGCCTACATCCGAGCATCCACCACCAGCGTGGAGCGGTATCTCCGGACTCACGATGAGCCCATCCGCGTTTACAAACGTGATAACGAACCGACCGATTTGTTGTTCGATTATAGCTCCATGGCCGGTCACGCACACCTGAGACCATATGGTTGGCATCCGTAATGGGCAATTGAAATGTGCGAAAGATCGATGAACAGCTTGCATATGGGGCGTCTTCTTGCATCCACAGCCCATATCTGGTATATAACAGGAAGAGCTTGGATTTGTTTGGACTTTTGTTTCTTCGAAAATGTATGCATGATATAGGAGCGTGGGCTTTTGAATGACTTGGGGCCGGATAAAGGCAGGGGAGTTCAATGTGAATAGAATGTCAATACTCTTCAAATAATCCAATGTGTTCGGAAGGTTGTGTATGTATTAAGCTTCACTGAATGGATCGAAAGGTAACATCTCGATACCTTGTTAGCCAGACAAATACTGTATTCAGCCTCCCGTAATGATGCTTGAACTTGAAATTATAATATCTCCCGTTGATTTTGCAATGAAAGACCGACTATTTACAAACGCGCGATACTCAAGACTGCCCAAAGTGCTTACTGTTAAACTGATCAACAATTTCTCTTGCAGTTTTGACAATCTCCACAGCCCCAGGCGAATCCGAGTGGCAGCACATCGAGACCTCGTGGTCCCCTATAGGAAGTTGCAGCTCCTCGCCGGTAACAGCCGTGACAGTTGCAGTTTCTACCTGACTCTGAATGTGCTTTCTCGCCTCTTCTGGAAGCCAAGGTCTGCACACAGTCAGCATTGCACTCAATGGAAGCATACGCATGCAACATACCTCTTCTTACGGTCGATTACCAAGGTCTTGTCCTTGTTGTACTTGACATCTCCGTAAAGCTCTGCTACGAACGGCAATCCAAGCTCTTTCGCAACCTCTTCGTGCAGAGTTCCCGCAAGACCAAATACTGTTGTTCCTTTGGGCACACCAGCATAAACTGCACGGCACACTTCCCTGTCCCGATACATCATCCCGTACAATACGCCATGGGGCTTGACATGATGTAAGGGCACATCTTCTGCATCCAAAAAAGCTTTCAACGCGCCGACTTGGTAGCGAACAGCGGCTGTCAGTTCTTCCGGCGACATTTTGATCTCGCGTCGGCCGAAGCCTTGAATGTCCGGGAGGCCAGGATGTGCACCGATTTTGATGTTGTGCTTTTTGCAGGCCAATACTGTCTGGTGCATAATCAATGGGTCCCTGATTACTTGTTGTCAGTAGAGTGGAATTGAAGATATTGATACAAGAGTTTCACGTACCCAGCGTGGAAACCACAGGCTATGTTTGCATGGTCAATAAGTGGAATTAACTCATCATCTGGCCCGCATTTGAAGTTTCCGTATCCTTCACCCAGATCCACGTTGATCTTTACAGGATGCTTGATAGCTGGCATTGTAGACCCTTGTACGAAGAAATTCGTTAGCTGGTGAGAGTGAAGCACTACGGTTGGAGTACGAAGTGTCTTGCGTTGGTTCTCGAGTAGGTCATCAGATGCGCGTGTAGTGGTAGCGGAGAGAGTTGGAGTAGTTGGAGTAATCCGCTCGGACCGGAGGTCATGCTTTCATACCATTCCAAAGTCATACTCGGCGTTATCCCGCAATGGTCGAACTTTCCCCACAGCTGTCAAACGCGCTGCACGCGTAGCGTCATCCTCCAATCCATGGATGCTTGTTATCGACCCCGCCTCTCGAACGTCGGCGGTGACGTCTGCATCACCGGAGACACCCCGGGAGAAAGCCTACGCGTTTGGTAAAGCACCAATGACAACGCCTTCGCTCTAACGGGTGGAGGTAAGATATCGGCGCGAAAGGGGAATGGCGGAAAGGTGGGGTCATGCAACCTGCCTCCAACTATGGAACTCATAGAAGGAGCCGGCTCGTGAATGATTTGGATGAGGTGATTGCGTTCGCGAACCATTTGCTCCAATGTCTGAAATGCAAAAACTACGAGTTCTGTTGATTGCGAATAGAGGCGAGATCGCGGTATGTGGCGCTGGAGCCGCGGAATTGCCCCGTTATCGATAACAACCTCCGACTGACATTGCGGGTACAGGTGCGCATCACCAGAACGGCCAAAAGACTCGGCATCAAGACCATCGCCATCTATTCAGAAGCCGATGCCGCGTCGCAGCATGTCCGAGATGCCGACGAAGCAGTTTTGCTACCAGGAAGCAACGCGACTGCATATACTGATGAGGCAGCCGTACTGCGCATAGCTAAGGAAAGGGGCGCGCAAGCAATCATACCTGGATATGGGTTCCTGTCAGAAAACGCCCATTTCGCGCGTCTGGTCGGTGATGCAGGTCTCATCTGGGTCGGGCCATCATCGGACGCCATCGATGCCTTTGGTGTTAAGCACACCGCCCGAGATCTGGCGGAAAAGGCTCATGTTCCCATCGTACCCGGGACGAAAGGCCTAGTCGAGAACGAAGAGGTGGCAGCGAAGGAAGCCGAGCGCATTGGGTTTCCTGTCATGTTGAAAGCGACCGGGGGCGGCGGCGGTACGTCATATTCCATAAACCGCATGTGAGATACATACCAACGTCTAACATCGACATTTAGGAATGGGACTCATCACATGCAATAATGCCGAAGAGGTTCGCGACGGCTTTCGGATGGTGCAATCTAGAGGAGAAACGCTGTTCAAGAACCCCGGAGTTTTCATCGAGGCCTTCTATCCCGCGTCTCATCACATCGAAGTCCAGGTATTCGGCAATGGCCAGGGTCAAGCCATCCACTTCGGCGAACGCGAATGTTCCATCCAAAGACGACATCAGAAGGTCATTGAAGAATGTCCAAGCCCGTTTGTAGAAAGGCATCTCGAGCTGCGAAAGAAGCTTGGTGAGGCTGCGGTACGCCTCGCCGAGTCGATCAAATATGGTTCTGCTGGTACCATCGAATATCTCGTCGATGATAAGTCTGGCGACTTTTTCTTTCTGGAGATGAACACGCGACTTCAGGTTGAGCACGGCATTACGGAGCTTTGCTACAACGTCGACCTGGTAGAACTCATGCTGAAACAAGCAGACGCACAACTAGCAGGCAAAAACGGGCTCGACGGCAAGACGTTGAAAGATATGCAACCATCAGGGCCGAGAGGATCGGCTATCGAAGCTCGTGTTTACGCTGAGAATCCGCTAAGAGACTACGCACCGTCGCCCGGTCTACTGCAGAAGGTAGCCTGGAAAGATGTTCCTGGCAGTCGAGTCGACACGTGGGTCTTCACTGGAGTCCGCATTACTCCAAATTACGGTACGACGCTCTTTCTCTCTCCCTATACAGGACACGCGAATCCTGTATCGAAATTAGAACCCTGATAGAGAATGTCAATTCCTTACTAACAATGACCAGATCCTTTGATAGCGAAAGCCATGGTTCATTCTCCATCCAGAGACGAGGCAATCGCGTCTATGAGTGAGCTTCTCACCCAATCTACCATTTGCGGCCCCCCTACCAATCTCGAATTCCTTGCCAAAATACTGGACGATTCGCGCTTCAGAAACGGCACCACCATGACCAGCTTCCTCACAGACTTCAAGTACTCGCCTCAAGCTATCGACGTGATTTCGGCTGGAGCATACACTTTAATTCAAGACCTTCCCGGGCGGCCAACAGTTGGCAAAGGTGTACCTCATTCTGGACCCATGGACCCGATCGCATTCCAGATCGCGAACATGCTCGTGGGAAACCCGCGATCGAAGGAAGCGCTGGAACTCACGCTGAGTGGACCAGAACTGAGATTTGTTGGCCCTGCTATTGTCGCGCTGTGTGGAGCTCCTATGGAAGCATCCTTGGACGAAGAGACCTTCCCTATGTGGACAAGCGTAAAGATCGAAGCTGGTCAAAAGCTAAAGATTGGCAAGACGACGGGTGGAGGTTGTCGCTCATATCTCGCAGTCTTCGGGGGATTCCCGTCTGTTGCGGAATACTTTGGCTCAAAGTCGACATCGCCGCTCGTAGCGATCGGAGGCTACCAGGGCCGGGCGCTGGCACCAAGCGATCTGTTACAGACAGTGGCGGAGCTTCCAGACACTTTTACTAGCGTTTCGCTCCCAGAAAACCTGCGACCCATCTACAAGTCAAGCTGGGAAATAACAGCAATGGTTGGGCCCCATGACGAAGGCTACTTCGATCCGAAGTTCATCGAGGAGATATACAAGACTGAGTGGAAGGTATCTCACAATGCATCGCGGAGCGGAATTCGTCTGGTGGGACCGGTTCCGAAATGGACCCGTAAAGATGGCGGCGAAGGAGGCGCGCATCCAAGCAATCTCATCGAGTACGGCTATCCACTGGGCACCTTGAACTGGACTGGAGATGATCCGTGTATCTTCCCTGTGGACTGCCCGAACTTCGGAGGATTTACCAGCTCGACTACAGTTGTTAAAGCCGACTGGTGGAAGCTGGGTCAGCTCAAAGCGGGAAATACTGTGAAGTATGTCCGGGCTGGTTTCGATGATGCGCTGAAGAAGAGAAAGAGAAACGACAGCTTCTTGAACTCAGTTGAGCAAGCCATCAGCGGCGAACGCGACTTCGAAGGCATTGAAAGGATGCAAGGTGCACACTGCAACTTCCATGAGGGAGATATCGGAAAGGCTGTCATTTGGGAGAAAGATAAGAACAATAGCACTCCACAAGTCAGGTATCGTCAAGGAGGTGATGACCATATCCTGATCGAATACGGGAATGAGAATTTCGATCTCAATCACCGCTGCCGCGTCACTGCTTTGGAGAACGCATTGCACTCAAACTCCACTCCCGAGCTCATCAAGTCCAACCTGTATAACACCGTGGGGTGCTGCACATCGCTTCTCCTTCACTACAACGGTGCCAAGCTCCCTCGATCAGAGCTCATTGCGCACCTTCAGTCCATCGAATCAAATCTCGGCGACTTGAGAAGCACCAAAGTCCCTACCCGCGTTTTCAAGCTTCCAATCTCATTCGAATCGAAACTCCAAGACGAAGCAACTCAACGCTACATGACTAACCAGCGGCCTCACGCACCGTACCTACCCGATAATCTTGCGTTTGTCGCAAAGAACAACGCTTTCACGCCACAGCAGCTGAAGGATATATACCTCACAGGCCAATTCATGGCAGTAGTCGTCGGCTTCTTCTGCGGCAACACAGTATCGCTGCCCGTAGATCCGCGCCAACGCCTTTCCGCTCCAAAGATGAACCCAAGTCGCGTTTTCACACCCGAAGGCACAGTTGGATGGGCCGGCTCCTGCATGTCGATATACCCCGTTGACTCACCTGGTGGGTATCAGATGACCGGCCGAACGGTACCCTGCTGGGATTACTATTCCTACAAACCCGGGTTCGACACAAAGCCTTGGATTTTCCGTGACTTCGACATCTTGACCTTCTACCAGGTCAGTGAGAAGGAACTCGATGATCTACTAGGCAAATTCCGTGCTGGAAAGTACCAGTGGGAGTATGAAGACGTGGAGTTTGATATGGCGCAGCACAACCAGCTTCTAGAAAAGAAGAGCGATGAAGTCAGGAAGATTAGGGAGAAGCAAGCGGTCGCCCAGGAAGAGATGACGAAAGCCGAGAACGAGAGTCTGGAACGCTGGAGGAAGGAGAAGGCTGAGAGTCAGGTTGACGAAGGGACCGTGGAGAAGCTGTTGGATGATCCGGATATCGTTGGAGTTGAGGCACCGGTCGATGCGAATGTGTGGAAGGTGGAAGTTAGCGAGGGCGATGAGATTGGAGATGAGAGTGTGGTAAGTACATTCATGAGGTTGTTCATCTGGCATTGCTGACATGATATAGATCGTCATTCTTGAAGCGATGAAGCTGGAGATTGCGGTCAAGACGCCAGATACGCTGGCGAAAGCGGGCAAGTTCAAGGTTGAGAAGGTTTTGGTGAAACCAGGAGATACTGTGACAGCTGGAGGACATCTGGCACTGTTACGCAAGAGCTAGCTAGGGAATGTAGTTCATTCATTGTAATCCATGCGTGTGTAAGCTATATCATGCATCAGAATGACATGCGTGTGAACAATACGTAGCCACCTTTCCACATCGCCCAGTATCAAGCTCATGTCGTCTCCAACGAACTAGAACTCCAGTTCCTTCAAGTTGAGACCCGTGCCACAGCTAGTCTTTTCAGTCGGTTTCATATCTGCCCGACCCCAGTCGTAAATTCCGCCACGCTCGACGAACGACTTCTTATCCCAGACGATTTGCTGCATGGCCTTCTCAACTCCAACATCCAATATAGACGCGCTCGTCGTCATCATGCCCTCGCCCTTGTCCATGAAGCGCATGTACTCATCAAGCAAGAGGTAGCTGCTGGCCATTGAATTGTTGTCTTCGGGTACGTAGCATTGAAGATGCTTGTGGCGATCGCAGAAGGTGCGCCATTGTTCGTCAGTGACCAGAAACGTCCTTGCATCGCGCTTCCGTGTTTCGTCGTCGTTCTCGCCTGCAACGATGAGGCATTGGAAGACCTTCCATCGGAATGGCGCTAGCTTCTCGATATTGGCAACCATATCTTCGTTCCAGTTGTGGATATTTACGACGGTGTTTAGCTTGAACTTCACGTTGAAGGCCCGGCACCACTCGGCAATTTGGAACAGTCGAGCGACGTTCTTCCCGTCGTCACCACGGCCAATCTTGACGTTCGTCTGCGCGTCGAATGAGTCGCAGAAGATGGCCAGAATGTCGAGCCACTGAGAGTTCTCTCGCATCCATTTCTCCGTGATCTTGCTACCGTTGCTGACGATGCTGATGCTTTCGACGCTCAAGTCTTCTTTGCAGTAGCGAATCAGGTTTGAGGGAAGCTTGGGGTGTAGGAATGGTTCACCGCCCGCGATATTGAGTTTGCGCATACCCGCATCTCTGAGCAGTCTCAGACCTTCTCGCGCTTTCTCATCGCTTAGATTGTAGGAGCTGGTCTCGGTGTGGAAGCAGAATTTGCATTTGTAGTTGCACTCCCGAGAAGGGAAGTAATTGACTGATACCGGCGCATCTGGTGGCTTCGATGGATCCAAGGGCTCGTGGACAACCGACGTTTCAACGGCTGGCTCTTTGGTAGAGGGCTCTTCAGTGAGTGATACGGGTGTGAGAATTTCGGTGGGCTTGATAGCGGTGGACTTGTAGACAACGTACGCGCAAGTCGCGAGGACAATCCCGACAAAGTACCGAAGAGCGGGTACTTCAGCGACAAGTGAGAGGAGCACCATCGTAAACGGTATTTCCGGAGACGACGTGGATGATAAGCGATAGTCGCTGCAAGAGAACCAAAGTCTTCAGAAACAAGAGGAAGTTGGTGCGGGATGCGTCAACTTCTATCTATACAGGCAGTGATGGTTCGGCCTGATAGAGGAAGTTCCGAGCCTAGGAAATGTGGGTCTTGAACAGCAAGAAATCGCTTTCGATCACAACTTCCTTGATATACTGAGTGGGGGCGCTTGCTACAAACGGCAATCAGGGCTAACAATCAGTGGAACGCCCCGGAAGCACATACCAGGCACCTTCCACAATCTTACTGTGCCCCACCGAGGCACTTCCTACCTCGCATGGGAAGTACAGTTCTTCTAGTCGCATTACCAGCAGCTATCGGTACCATGGCAGCCTCAGATCAGACCAAGGAATCCCCTCGCGGCTTTGCTATCGCGTTCGTACTAGGTATACTGCTCAGCTTCGCTTTTTAAACTTCAAAGTAACCCATGACTAGGTGCACCTGGTGCGGGGAAGGGGACACTGTGTACGCGTCTAGCTCGAGACCACAACCTGGTACACTACTCAGTCGGCGACAGTCTGCGGAGCTGGATGCGTGAAAACGCCAACGCCCCACTCGCAGTGACTATCCAGGACAAACTCGACAATCAAGGGTTTTTAACTTCTGAAGAGTTGAACCCTTTCATTGCGCGCGCGATCAGAGATGCCTTGTCTCAGCAGCCACCCAAGGCCGGCATCTTGGTGGACGGATTCCCACGAAGCACAGAGCAACTAGAATCATGGAACGTGTGGCCATTTCCCGAAGATCTGCCAATCGCAAGCGGGACCAACACCAATGCAAAACCAGACATTGTATTATCGTTACGCGTCAGCAAACAAAATGCGAAAGCCAGATATTCGGCTCGAGCCCGAGATAGCAACGATAGCGATGAGAAATTTGAGCGGCGTTTCTCTGAATATGAGGAAGAGACTTTGCCTGTGGAAGAAGTTTATCGTGAGCGCGGCATTTTGATCGATGTGAGTATGTAATAAATTACGAAAGATCGAACACTAAATTGCATCTAGATCGACGTGAACGGTTCGAAGGAAGAGAACATTATAGAGATGACCAATAGCCTTAATGGAAGTAGTCTCTGGCGGAGAGTTATGGTCGAGAGATGTATGGACACGCATTTTATCCTTACGTAACCATGTACTTCGTAACTCGTTGGCAAAGTAATAGGTCGCATGTAGTTGGACGCCACTAACTTCTGCCAGTCCATGGCATGCCACGGCAACTGACCTTATCCCATGGATCTTGCGAATATTTCCCTTCTCTGTGCATTGTTTCATGATGCGTGTGACAGAGACGTGCCCGTTGTCCTGGTGGACCAAAGCTTCCTTAGTCCCTTCATGGCCCAACATATTCTGCCCCAGCGACGTATGATACGAGCATCGCCGAAAGTTATAATGATTTCATAAGACGAGAGCATCCAGATATCTCTCACATCAGGACTGGGGAGTGAGAGGCAATTCTCGGGACCTGGAATGAACGATTTCGATGTCTCCTTGACCCCGGGCTTGAGTCTGTCGTATATTCTCCGCGGCGGAACTAGAGGACATCTGAGGGGTCTATTAGGATGATGGAAATGAAAGACGGGATTTGCTCGCAGTCGCAACTAGCCAGGAGGTCATATTCTTACGTCGCCTTGTTGAAGTTTGTCGGACCAGTCTGGTCTATACTTCGTTTTCATGTGTTGCATGAGATCGACTAGGGAGGCTGAGAGGGCAGCGGAGCTTGGCCACCTCCAGGAAGAGAGCTCGAGAACGAGGAGCGCGTTGGAGTACAACTGGATAAGGTTCCCACCAAAGATTGCCGGCATGTTCTGTATGAGCACTGTGCCTGCTCGGTATACCCAATGTGGCGTGACGAAGACATGGATGCCGCCGAAACTCACTACAGCCTCTCTGTTTGTGATGGTTAGTATGACACCCTTCAAGGCATGCGGATATTACGTACAGCACATGCCATGCACTCCCCCAACAAGGATTCAGCAACAAGTGTGTTATGTGTAAGGTAATGCGTATGACAGGGAGCAGCTCGTCTCTCTCGTCAAATAGCGGTAACAGCTTCTTGACGTTCTCCTTGGCGATGTGGTCGCCTTTGCGGAAGCGATTTTGCATGCGATACAATGAGCAGAGGTATTCCGCGGGCTTCTCTTTGTCAAAACACATTTCTTCATCCTGCGATAGATGAGCCATGATCTTCAGAAGGCTGCGCAGCTGATAGACTCACCGGCTCCGGAAACAATGCAGGTCTATCCAGTGTAGATGCAATCTGGTTCTCAAGGCAGAATATGGTCATGTGCATGGCTCGCAGTAGTTGGACATCGTCGGGATCCAGCTCTTGTAACGCTCTTTTTGACTCAAGGTCGAATGCAAGACGGCCTGCGAGAGCTATTTGCTGGCCAATGTTGCCAGCTATTGGGTCAAATGAGCTATTGATAGCGAGTAGTAGAACCGATCGGATGGTGTCGATGTTTGGCTCCATCGTTGCTAACTCGAGGTGTTCCATAGCATCTGCAAAGTACTGAGTGGCGAGGGCCCGGTATCTAATGGAATTGGCCTGGTGGTATGTGAGCCTACCCCTAGGGTTCCAGCAAGTATCAGGAGGTTGCTTTTTACGAGTGTTGGGAAGTATGTAGCATGCTATGGAATATATCATATACAACGAGAACTTCTCGGTGTCCGTTAGGTCATCAGGTACGTCAGGTCCGAGATAACGGAGCGATGAATCCAGGATTGGATATATAGGTTGCACAGTTTCGAGATAGAGTTGCACCAGCTCATACTGCTTCTCGGGCGAATCTTTGTTGCTGTAGTGCCAGTCGTCAAGCTCTTCGTCAGTCTGCACGGCACGATTTTCGTGCGCAGTGTGTAGTCTGGGGGATTTGAGAAGGCAGGATTCAGCGCCAAGGTATCGATAGCTGTTTCCCGCTTCGGCGAAGTGATGTTCGTATCGAGGAACTTCAGAAGCGATGAATTCTGTTTTGACGTGTGTAGCAAAGGCGCCATTGTCCGTGAGCCCGCCGGATGTCGCTGGCGACCCATGGCCACTGGACAAATTGCGCACACGATCTACTAGCTCGCTGATGTAGCTGGGCATGTCTTAGTACGAGTTCGAGGACAAGCCTCGTCTGCTCACCTTCGCGGTAGCAGCTGATTGCGCCCGTGGTCGTAGAACATGCATTCCACGCCGGCTTTGGTGCATTGCCTGACAACGTTAGCAGGACGCGCAGGGTGGGACAGAGAAGCCATGTACCTGCACTTGGGCAATAAGGTATCGCATCCGCGGCGACACTCTCGGCATCGCTTGCATGCGGGGAGACTCTGGGGAAGTGTAAGTGCACGATGGCGAATTGCGGAGACGGCGGCGTTACCTGAATCAGCGCATCTAGATCGAGCGTGGGGGGCTTCGAGGTCGCGGCGGCCATCGGAGTGGGCAGTTTGCAAGGAGGCGACAGGTACGGGTCAAGGTCTAGCAGAGCTGTCGTCTGTACTACGATCCATCGCGCGCCGTCGTCATGTCAGCGACAATGGTCGGAGACGCGATGGGAGGCCTGGGCGGAGTGGATGGCGAGCGAGGACGATCTTATCTGGCTAGGGCGTCCCAACACAGAAGCGATCACCCCGGCCGCCTGCATCCCGCGTGCCCACAGTCCGCCCACATGCCAGCATTCCGTCCTTCGTTCGAGAACACCAGCCATCGGGAATCATCACCGCCAGCAAGTCCTTCATCTCCGCCATGACAACGGCGCCATCGTGGTACAGACGCCAGACGCTCGAGGTTGGCCATGCAGAACCGCACCAAAGTCCGTCGTCGCGTGCTGGCCTGTGCTCGCTGTCGGAAGCGTAAACTCTCGGTAGACGCTTTCCTCTGCCCCCGTCATACATGTACTGACTCCATCAAGTGTGATGGCAAGGTTCCCGCCTGCACGCGTTGCGTAGATGCTAGCGTCCAGTGTGTGGGATTCGATTCTTCAACCCAGCAAGAAGCTCCGCGCTCTATTGCCGACTTTCTGGAAGCCCACATCGCTCGGCTCGAGGGCCAAAGCAGCACGCCCTCGACGCTGCCATCTCTAGGACAGTCAAGTGCTACTCTGTCATCTCCAGCAGATTCTCACGCATCTGACTCGAGGCCGGGGAATTGGCGTCCAGAGAAATGTGCCTTCGCCGACAGCCTCGTCAACCAGGTCATGCAAGACATCACGCCTTCTTTCCTTGGTGTGTGCAAAGCTCGGCCCTTCCTACAGTGCGTCATCAGAGGCACGAGGCTGCCTTCGAAAAAGGGACCTGTTCTTTCCAACGATCTGAACGAGAACCACCCCAGATCCATCTTGAACCCTCAGCAGACCAAGGGGCTGTTCTATGACCTCATGCCTGACGAGGTTGGCGCCAACAAACTACTCCAAAACTACTTAGATCGCGTCATCACACAATATCCCATCTACCATCGGAACGACGTGACAACTGCTTTCAACTCCATCTATCACAAGAAAGCAGCAACGCCAAATGAAGACTCATTCCGAAATCGATACATAGTCTGCATCATCATGGCCATCTCGCTAACAACAAGCGCACGGAATAATGTGCAGAAGGCGAACGATCTTGCCTATCAGCTTGTTCGGCACGCCATGCAATGGATTCCAGAGGTTGCAACCAACGATATTGCTGGACTACAAGCTATACTGCTGCTAACCCAATACATCTTCCTGAATCCTAAGATGGCCGATCTATGGCTCATGACAGGTCTCATCAGTCAAGCAGTCATTGACCTAGGACTGCACCAAGAGCTGCCCCATGATGCCAAAGTCTCCGCTTACCAACGCGACATGCGACGACGTATATTTTGGTGTGCATGGGAAATGGAAGTTGGCGTCTGCTGCATATTTCTACGCCCTACAAGTCTTCCGGTTGGGCGCATAGATGTTCATTTTCCCATGGAGATTGACGACACCGCCATTACGCAGTCTAGCATATCACCGACTGGACGACTATCGAAATTCACGCAGCGTATCATCTGTCGCTTTCGCCTTATCGAAGCTGACGTCATATCCGTCTTGTGGCATGAAGACCCTATATCTCAAGAGTGCTCCTCGTTGGAGGAATGGGTACAACACACTATCAATGCCATGTCAGATTGGCAACGCGAGATATATGCAGCTTCAGAGGCCAACAAAGATCGTAGCTTGAATGCACGATGGACTGAGATGCGCCTGTACTCCGACATCGCAACCCCTTACGTCTTGTCCTTGTTGCATCGCACCTCTCGACGACTGCCGAACCCAAGTAAAGAGCAAATGATGATCGCTCTACTCAATGCCGTCAAGGTTGCTGACGGCTACTTTCAGCAATCTGAGGCAGAAGCGGGAAAGATCAAATACGTCTTCCATCCATGCCATCATGTCTTCAATTGTGCGCTCATTTTCTTGCAAGGTTTGCAGCGCTGTCCGAAAGAAGTTGCGGACCAATACTCATGGCAACAAGTTGAAGAATGGATGCACGTCTTTTCGAAATGCTTCTTGTCCATCTCGGAGCGATGGGCAGCAGCGAAAAGGTGTTTCGAAGAGTACGAACGACTACTCCTTCCGGTCAAGAAGGAATACCTCGAATTCCTGAATCAGAGAGCGAGTTATTGTCCGCCAACACTGCACCAAACGGTCTCTGATGCGAGCAATCTCTACGACTACCAAGTGCCGCCCTCTATACTTACAGAAATCGATGAGGCTTACCAGTTCTGGACGGTTTTCAACCCTACCTCAGCGATCGATGCACCAGACCCACTGGGTGCATACTCTTACAATCTCGCGCCTTCTGATTGGAATGCGGAGTTTTCTTTGAATGATAATATGGACATGACACCGGAGTTGTAGTAATCTTTGGCGTTTCTCGATCACCTTTCTTCTCTCACCGGCATTTACGTCTTTCAGCTTGATGACAGCACAGCACTGTACTGATTTACTTAGCTAGCATGTGGAATTGTTGCGCATTTTCGGTTCGGACTAATGAAATACCCTTGGGTTGCGGGCTTACATCTCTTCAGTGGTACTTTGTTGCTCTAGACTTCCGCTGAGTATCAAGCTTGATAACACTTTGACTGGATTTCAACATGTGTGAATATGCGTACACCCAAAGGTCACTGGACACGTTTTGAGCGCACAGTCGATAATAATGAGGTTACATTCGCCAAAGCCTGCCGTGGCTTATTTCCGCGTACACATATGCGGGGCACGCGGCACGGGAGTCGCCCGGTCACGTCCAGCGTCTACCAATGTGTCGGGTGGATTCGACGGCGCCGAGAGTGCTGCACTGCCAACACATAGCGCATTGAGCCCCCACGCTGCGGTGGGGAAGGACGGGCCATTTACCCGCAGAGTATCTGCATATTCGTTCACGAACGAGAACTGCCCTATACACGTACCGGCTACATAGTCACAAGACGTCTTTACTTGAGAGGCAAATTGGAAACGTAGTCAACTACATCAGTGTCGCGTGTGACGACTTTCGATAAGCATATAGATCTCCTGACACGTAGTGCAGTGGCACAGGCAGTTCATGCGAGCGTACGCACATCTAACGTGTCCTGGTTATGGGCTTCTATCCACTTGACTGCCCTCATTCCTGTGGAAGTGTAAGAATTTGGTATCGTGTTCAAATAAAGACGAATATGCAGTACATCTGCCCTATAGCTCTAGACTCAGAGTTTCCTCTGGCTGTGTTGGTATCCCCATCTTCAGCACTGCTTTCTTGCTTTTCAAGTCCATAACAATGTTGAACAGGGTACCACTTCCAGTCTCCTCGGTCTCAAACCTACATATCGCACCCGGCGCATTCTGCTGGTCGGCAAACAATTGAGTCACGTCTTCCCAGCTTGGGTCGTCACCCAGCGCTCCCACGTTCGTGGCCATTGTTTGAACCCTAGTGATGGAGTCTTTGAGCCATACGGTATCGATTTCGCCAGGGTGATCCAGCAGCAGATGATTCGTGTGGATGACCCTTGAGCTAGAGTCTGGTAACACGTGCGCAAAAGTGCTCTTTGTGAATTCTAAGCCCAGGGACGTGTTTGCATCAGCTATGAGAATATGGGCTGAGGATGCCATGCCGAAACTCTCTAGCTTGCGTACTGCTTCGTCGACTGACGTGCTCTCCAGTGCCATTCTCAAGCCAAAGTGAGCGGGCATTCGGGTAGAATCCACGCCGTGAACTTTTATGGCGTTAAACAACGTGCCTACGCCGCTGCTGTTGAAGCCGATCTTTCCAATTATGCCTGCCTCGGTTACTTGGATTATAGTGGGCTTGTTCGCTTGTGTAATCTTGGTAACAATCAGGTTCTCTTGCTGCTCGGTCATCCACTGGGCACCGTCAGCATGCGATCATCGCGTTCGTGTTCTTCTAGAGGTGCTGCATACATCCCAGTTCTGCGCCAACCATGCCCGGTTCTGAGTGTGCCACGCGAGGGCAGTGCAGCCATCGCTGAACAGGCCAAAGTTGATCTCAGTTCGGACGTTTATCGCTACGATGTCTAGCAACTCGCGTCCGGAGCCGTCGGCAATGCCTTGCATCTCTTCGTAGAAGTTTGGCCATTGCGCCTTTGCTCGCTGTTCAAACGTCGACGCGTGTTGGAGGACCTGTGGCCATCTCTTCTTGCAGTTCTTGAGGAAGAGACACGCGTAGAACTCAATGCAACGCGCAATTTGTAGTTTCGCGGCTTTACCGTGTTGGTAGCCAATCTGTGCGAGATCAGCATGATCCTGGTCGCTGTCGCGTTTCGTCGCGGCGGCAGCAATGACGTCACGCGTCAGACTTACCTCGTACGGGGTGCCCTTGCACTCGACAAACAGCATCGTGTACGACAACCCGACAAATATCAGACGAGAAGATGTAGGAAACAGTCTAGATTCCTATTCGAAGGAATGAATTGCTAAAGTCTATCTGTCTGCGGAAGCGCTTTCGGCAAACCCACGCACATGCCCCGCCTTCGACGTGCGCTCAATTCCGTCTCGAGCTACGCCACGCGCTCCTTCGTCTCTCATTCGTTGTAAAGGTGCAGCATGAGTAATTCTCTGCGAACTGCGCTGCATGAGCACGAATGCAGTTCATGGACCACTGCAAGCTAACCCACCGGCGTTGAAACCCTGTTACTACCTGCTTGATTAGTGCTTCGGAGTATATCAGCGACGGGCGGTGAACCACTCCCTTGGTATCGAAACAGCCGCGGACAGAGATGGCAAGTACAACTGTGCCGCGGACTATGTCGTTTGAGAAGGCAGGGAGTTGACGATAAGAGGCGATTGCATCTCGCCTGCATTCTGTTGCTTCCCCGAGGGTTGCTCCATAGCCAACGACTTTCTTGCCTTCAATTTTACCTAAGAAATCATGCCAAAACGCGTGCTGTGTACTTATGGTATTGACATCGACGCGGTGAGTAACACGTTTGCCATCTTCGTTCGGACACTCGCTGATTACCGACACACGCAGGTGAGCGGGTGGCACGTTGGATTCACTTGAAGTGTCTCATGGGCACCAGCTAACAGCACACCAAGGCTAAACACCAAGACTGGAGCCACTGCCAACCCAACCGATGTGTCCCGCGGTGTATTTGGTGCCACTGTAGGCATTGATCGTCTGCTGAGGCTTTGGGACAAATACGATATCAAGACAACATGGTTCATACCAGCACATTCCGCGGAGTCGTTTCCGCATCAGATACGCAAAATCGTCGAAAAAGGACATGAAGTCGGGCTACACGGCTACACACACGAATTTGTCTCCCTTTTGAACGAACAACAGCAACGAGACGTTTTGGAGAAGAGCATACAGGTCTTGACAGACATTTCAGGCAAGAAACCGCGCGGCTGGACTGCACCTGCCTGGAGCACGAGTAGGGAAACGACCAAGCTCCTCGAAGAGTTCGGGATCGTACGATTACCATTGTCTAAAATCAGGCGTAAACGACGAGCTGACATCTACTGTAGGAATACGATCACTCCTTCATGCACCATGACTCTCAGCCCTACTACGTTCCTTCCCCGCACCTCAGCACGTATACAGAAACCGACGTATCAAAGCCAGCTTCCCATTGGATGAAGTCCATGTCAACACTGAAGCCATCTGCAGTCGTGGAAATACCTGCAAATTGGCATCTCGATGACTGGCCACCTTTCCAGCTCTCACTTACACAGCCAAGCACGCATGGCTTCGTCGATACCGCGGTCATCGAGCGCTTGTGGAAGGAACAGTTTGCGTTTCTGTATCGCGAATGTCCGGACGACGGAAGCTTCATCTTCCCAATCAGTCAGTCATATCCTTGGAAGAGCTGTATGTGAGACAAAGACTGACTTCGTACACCCATCTTTAGGCATCCACCCGCAGGTGAGCGGCAAACCACAAGTCATCTTACTGCACGAGAGGCTCATCGAATGGATCAACGGGCACGAAGGAGTGGAATGGGTCACTATGGAGCAAATCGTTGATGAGTTCAAAAGCGGCAATTTGAGCGGCGCGACCGTAGAGGGTGGGGCGGACGTGTAATGTTACACCGAGATGGAGCCGAGATGTTACTCTCGCACGCGAATGACTAACATCCACTTCTCGGTTGGCACAACCCCTGGCAAATCCTTCGACGTCAAACTGAATGAAGAATATCGAAACGAGGTTTTACAGTCTAAGGTACATGTGCCGTGGCATTTCGCGCTCTTCTTGCATAGCCGCTATACACGAGCGCTACGCCTCGTGAACCGTCCTCACGGGCCCGGAGCAAGGCGCATTACACCGAGCGGCGGACGGCGACGATGACGCCCCTCTCTCAAGCGAGGGCCTAGTCAAGACGATGTATTTGACTTTCCGTGCCCCCAGTCCCACAGTCTGCCAACATCTCCAGGGCTCACTTTTGCATGACCAGGTAGTACACCATCGCCATACGTTACTGTTGCTTCTTTGTCGAACTGTGAACTTTCTGTGGAGCTTCGGTGATTACATTGAATCATGCGCAGAAGAAAGAAGGGTGAATCACCTTCTGACCCACTCTACCATGCATCCCTCTTTCCGGTCTAAGTACTATATCAATTCTCTATCTTTTCTAATCTACCTGTCACACGCAACACCTCATCCCAATGTCCCAGCCAAGCTCCACCATACAACTTCAAATCTACTGCCTTCTTGCTCATCCTCATCCCCGCTCTCAACCAAGTTCACACTCGTACACATCCCACCAAGTAGTCTTCAAGTCCCTCGCCATAATATCCACACTCACTTTTCTCGCCTCGTCTTTATACTTCTCCTCCACCTCATCCGCCTGCTCGAACCTCCACACCATCTCAAAAGATTCTCTCTTTAGCCTCCTATCCGAATACTCTGCATCGACTCGGTTGCAAAGTGCTTGCTCGGCCAGCGGCAGTGTCTTCTGTCGACCGGGTACTTCGACGCTGAGAACGTGGGCTTCTTTGAGTACCTCCATCTTAAGAACTGTGCTGCGATTGGTAGCAGGGTGTGTGACGCGAATGTTGATGTAGAAGAATTCCTCGTTGTTTTCGGGGTAGGCGCATGTCTGGGTTTCGGGGGTTGCGGACACGATGTTGTAGAGGGCGCGAGAGAAGGTTGTGGCTTTTGTGACGACGATGAGGTAAATGGGCGCCATATTTTGCGTACGAATAGGCAGTTGACCAGGATCTTGGCAATATTTACATTTGCTGAAGTGGTGACTCGTGCTGATAAGTACCTGGACAGGAGCGTTTGTGTTTCGACACGTGATGAAACTACACGGTGTTGCTTGCTGTCAGGCCTAGAACCCACACATCGCGCGGTCTTCACAGAAGCTACTGGTTAGACATCGGGTGTACTCATTGCAAATCATAAGATAATTTTCAGAGCAGATGAATCTGCTGAAACTACCCATCCATCGAACAATCTACAGTGTTGATAATGCTTTTGACTTCACTTTCGACGTCGCTGGGCATAGAGAGCAGCTCTCCTTCTCTCTTGAGATTTTCGTATAAGCTCAACGCCACGAGGACTTTCGTGATTTCGAGCACCTTCCCAACATAGCTCAGTCGGCGGCGCAAGCTTAAGCTTGATCTTCTCTCCCTCTTTCTCAAGACCTGTCGCTTCAACTGAAGAGAGTTTTTCGACTTCTTCTGTCGAGAAGTCCCATGGCAAGTAAACTGGTATCGATTCTTCGAAGGGCTTGCCATTAAATCTTTTGATGTCCAGAGCCTATCGGTGTTGTCGTGAAGGCTTGATGTTTATTCGAGATTCGATTGAGGACATGATGTTTTTATACGCGTTTCGTTGAGGAATGTGAAGACTTGTGTTCGAGACATGTATGAATGAGCTGAGGCAGGGGAGCATTTGTGTCTTTGGTGCTGCGACCCATCTACAGCTGTGAGCCATGAACTGTTAGACGCTAGCACTCGATTGGCCACGTACAGCATGTTGTGACCAACAGTCAACGGACACAGATCGTAGCAATAGCTGCTATGACGGGTAGGCAAGCGGCAGTCGAGCTTCGGGCTTGGGAATGCCGTCAGTCACAGTCTATTGCAAGTGTCAAGCCGCGGGAATGACATGACGCTAGGTCCACTTCCCCCATCGAACCCATGTTCCGCCCCACCAGAGCGCATGCATGCAAGTGCGACCGCGGAACGCGGAGTATGTCGACGCGCCACCCGCCAAACTTCACGCATTTGTTTGCTCACCACGTCCAAAGCTTCTAGCCTTTTTTGAACTTTACCGTGTGCACTGGAAATTGCAGCTCTCGTATCCATATTCGACATAGAATCAATTCCTCCGCCTCCTCATAATGGGCACTTTGACCGCAGACTGCCCACGCCTGGATACACACTGTCCGCACAAGCTTGCCACAAGCTGCCGATTGACTTCTACCCCGAACTGCTGCGCTTGTGCCGACGAAAGAGTCCACTCGCGGACGTATCGCGTCTACATTGACGGCGTGGGCTTTGTGAACCGCGGCACAAGGTGGCAAGGCTATTGCTGGTTCTGTAAAGGTACAATATTGCTCGATAGGACCTCGAGTTACCAGATCGTAAACTAACTATAGCCTAGAGTTCTGGAGCAATCGTCTTGCCGCTACCGAACCTCCCCTCGAAATTTCTCAGACACGCGTACCCGAGATACCTGATCAGACCGAGTTCCTAGAGCGATGGTGGGAGTTTCACCAGGGCTATCGCATTGCGAAGCTGCCAGATGGGACTGAACAACGCATGCCTGTCATAGGGGAGCCATTCCGGGAAGTCAGTCCTGGCTTTCTTCCGCGAACATTGGATCAGCTGAGGGCCGGCGTAGAAAATGATGCGAGCAGACCAGAGAATCGACTGAGAAGAAGACGGTTAAGCTCTGAAGAGGAGCGGCCAGAGCAGCCACACCAGAGTCTAGAAGACGCGCTGGATGACCTACTGCAAGAGACGGAGGAGATGGAGGTTTCGCACACAGAGCCCACGGCACCAGCAGAACCACGAACTTCTGTCACACCCCAAATACAAGAAGAGCCGTCAGAGCCCCCGCGGCCAATGACACGACGAGAAGCGCAGCAACAAAATCGGCGAGAGCGATTCGCACGCGTATTCGGCTCCCGGGAGGAATTAGAACAGGACGACTACGAGTCGCCGCTGACACAAATGTACACACGAGCATACGCCCGCCAGCGCCAGGCAGACCAACGAAGAGCAGATGGGACTGAAATCGCACCTCCACTCGATGGCCTATCCCCACAAGATCGTCGAGAAATCGAGGAACAGCTGCTATGGGGTGTGATGCGAGAGTCGCAGTCATTTGCAGAGACTCTAGAGCCAGAAAGCCAAGTTTGGAGTTATGCACCCCGGCGCCCAAATCTTGAGAACAACGACGTATCCCGCCCAGACCTGGATCTGGAGACAATATTAGCAATGCCCGGCGGTGGGGATGCAGCAACCAGACCCGCAACTGTAGCGTCGGCGCTCGAAATACTATCCAATGTGCGCGCCTCGGCTCTCCTTGAGCCCGGCATGCGCAGTACACGTCTTCAGCACAGGTTCGCTGAAGCGCGTGCATTTTTGCGCGTCGACCCTCCGCAGCCAGAACTACCGCTCGTATCGCTTGACAGCCAGCCTGATCGGCCAGAGCCAAAGACAGACGCGGAAATGACAAAGGTACTCGCGTGCCAGGTGTGCTATCAGCAGCTTGCTGATGTAGCTGTATTGCCCTGTGGGCACATGGTTATGTGCCAGTGGTGCGCTGATGTCGTTGTTCCGGTGAAGCATGGTCATATACCCGTGCGGCCGACAAAGTGCCCCATGTGCAGAAAACAGGTGAAGCAGAGGTTCAAGATACATACTGGATGAGGTGGCTGGATTGACGTCACGATGTAATGAAAGTAATGATCTACGATGTATATATAATTGGATATAGGTATGATCTAGACAACGAACCAACTCCGGTCTGCTAGGACTGGTGACAATCTAGTGCAATGATACCTATCCACGAGCCTGCTATCTTATCACTGCTTTGCTCTCTAACCTGTCTTCATCGTTGGTCCAGCTGGCATGTTCTCTCTCTTTGTGCCATAGAATGCGTAAAGCCCGGAGCTTTGTGCGGGGAAGATGCGGACCGATCGTATGTAGGTCTTTCTGTATATCAACGTCGCGTCCCTGATCAGCCTGTGGAACATTGTCATCCACACTCGTGGAGACTAGTTCTGCTCGTGTGAGTTGGAGGATACACGTCGTTCTCTCGGTCTTTTGCGTTGTTTATACATCGTGTCACTTCAGCGAAGTGTACTCGTGGTGATGTTCAACTCATGGGTGTGGTGAGGATGTGGAGACGGCATTGATGCCACACCAGCTGGTGAAAATGCTCAAGGTCCGAGAAGTCGACCACAATGAGTCGGCAGTTTCATGAGCGATAAGAGTTGCCTGATCTTCATCGAAACATTTCTGTCACGACATGGTCGACAATGAGATGCCCATGCAGATGCCCTTCCCTCTAATCGGAGCAGCAGGAGAAGACACAAGGACGTGGCTTCGGTTGTTGATGCGCGGGGCGAAAGTATGCGTGGATGCGTTGAGATGCGATGCTAGTAAATCCGGGGCATGTGTTCGCGACAAGGACTCAGAGTCCACCATAGATGGCGAACGAGGACAATATGAGTACCAAGGTGTTGATGACAGCCCAGACAAAGGGTATCCAGGTGGACATTTCGAAGTAGCCCGCCTGATATACGCCTCCAAGTCTGATAGTAGTGAGTATGCGATCCATATGGCTCTTTCCAGAGGCATCACTCACAGTCCGCCAACAATTGCACCCGCAACAAGTGCTTCAACACCTCCCACAATGCTGAACACAGGTAGGGCTATCCATATCAACTTCCAATTACGCCATTGCACTATGCATGCCCATAGCGCAGTGATGAAGTGGATGCCGCCGACCAGCAGCAGTGTCCAGTATACGGTGAAGCGGAAGATGTCATCGGGACGGTATAGGTAGAAGGACTGTGTCGCGCCGGCGGGAAGAGGCCAATAGAGGGAGGGGAAGGGCGGCGTGGTGTAGCCGAGCGGAACCGCCGAGTCGACGCGTTGAATAAAGCTGGGGAATATACGGTTAACTACGTTCATGGCCAAGATGTGGGGAACGTGTTGAGGCGAACGTGAATGTTGGGCCATGCACAGGGGGAAGACTGTGGTGAGCACAAGGGTCCAGTTGGGCTTACCTCATCTATGCGGCATGGCTATGGGGCGCTTCGTGTACTGCTACGCGTAGGACGAGGACCGCGGGATCATACGATATCAGAAGCCGATGTTTTGGAGTTGATGCTTGTGACGTCGATCTCGGAGTGAATGTGAACGGCTAAAGCCCGAGCTTAGCGCAACCTCGGCTGACGCGAGCGATGATCAACACCAGCCATTGCATCTCCAACACCTCCATGCGCATCTTCTGGTAGCCTGTCGCGGGCTTCTCGAGGTCATCATGGTCGTCGATCGCCTCTTATCCACGCTGCTGCGCTCGCTCCAGACATACACAGATCAGCAAGACACGCCGCGGTACGCATCGCGACTCCCTATTCGCAATGCGCATGCTAATGACCACAGGCTACTGGGAACCGCGTCTTCACTCCTCACCACACTCGGCAACCCCCACAATCTCAGCCTCCTTACTTCGCATCTTCTTACCGCGCCCGCGCTATGGGACCGTCCCGATGGCGTTCGGACGCCTCTCCGCATGCTCTCCGTCTTTCACTCGGCCGTCACCACCGTCATCAACCATCACAACGACGTTCGGCACAACAAAGCAGCTAAGCTTGCGCCAGGACAGACGCCAATAGGAGGAGGCCTTTCGCTAGACGAATGGATACGCGCCATAGTCGCCGGAGCCGACGACCGGAGCCGCCGATGGAAGCACTTGGTCGTCCTCGCCGGTCTGCTGATCGGTATCGGCAGCCTCGAAGAGCAAGGCATGGACTTGTACTGGGCGTCAGCTATGCGAAAGAGAGTCGAGGCTGCATTGGTGCGCGCGACAAATCTCGCCTTGGTGGAAGTCAGGGAGCGTTCCGAGGCAGACGGATTGGGAGGCCAGACCATAACACTGACGCTCAACCATGCCTTCGGATGCATCGGAGACGTGGAAAGGACACAGCTTGATTACGATCTGCTGCTTCCAGTCCTCATTGGAACGGCATACTACTCGAACGAAGGCTTCCAGTCTGCCTACTTCCTTGGGAGCCTGGATCTCGACGTACGAACAATGCAATCAGGGAAGCTGGACTGGAGTGTAGGTCTTTTCGGAACCTGATACATGCGTGTACGTATACTGACTATGCATAGCCACACTCTAGCTCTTACAGACAAGTCGAAAGTATCATGAATAGGCCCTTGGTATCATCTATGGGTCCTCTATCACGGCTAATCGCGCATGCTGTCGAGAACGTCAAGAACCCATGGATCATCCAAACAATGATGGACGACCTCGCAAGCTTTTCTCGCGCTCTTACTACACAATGGCGACAGACCAAGTTTTCAGACATCGAGCCGTCCGAGGAGGCAGCAAACCTGGAAGACGACGCGCTTCACAGGACAACTCCGCAGTTGTGGAACCTACTCAAGGCGGCTCTCTTTGCTACTACTATCATTCTGCGAGGCGTATTCACACGAACACTAGCCGACAGAGCGCTCGCCGCAGACGCCATCGCTCCCATGTTAGCATCACAAGCCCTACAAACCCTGCGGCACCTATACTTCATCACATCTCGACTCGGCCCAGCGTCCTTTTCCCAGCATACATTTGTCTATCTTACAGCGATAGACATTCTCTCCGCCTACCCCAACCACGCCGACAAGCTTCTTAAAACTATTGCGCCTCAGCACCTTGGCCAAATACCAAGCCACCCACTTGATCGCATACTGGACCTCTACTTTCTCAATACAGCAGAACACTTCACTCTGATATTGTCGCCAGCCACGAACGAGGACTTGCTTGTCGCTTCGGCGGTACCTTACCTTGCGGCTGGCGAGAACCGTCACATGCTGCCAGTGTTCGAAGCTGCCCATAGTGTCATGCTTGCTGTGCTATCTGCTCCACAATCTGCCGAGATCACAGCAAAACACCTGCCGTTCTACATCGACGCTCTGTTCAGTGTTTTCCCTCACAACCTGTCTCCGCGCCAGTTCCGTCTAGCTTTCAAGACCCTGATGCGTGTCACGGCTCCTCCTTCCACCTTGTCGGCAACGCATCCCGATCTCCCGGCCACGCTCCTAGAGCTCGTATACCATCGCGCTCTCAACGCTCCTTCGCAGCCACTACCACCCGATTCGGTCGCTTTGGCTCTACAAGGCTCAGACGCACCACCCCCTGCCCTCTCGGAACAGGCAGTGCTCGCTTTGACCCTCATAGATGCCCTGCCTTTCCTTCCTATATACCTGCTGGAGGAGTGGCTGCCTCTATGTGCCGAACTACTCAACCAAATCCATGACGATGAAATGCGGGAGAATGTCAAAGCGCGATACTGGGAAGTGTTGGTCAGCGGCGAGATGGATGCAGAGCGTAGTGGTGTTGCTGTGAATTGGTGGACGACAAGGGGAGGTAGAGAGCGAGTCCTCTACGGAAGAGAAGAACAGGTGGACATGATGAGTGGTGCGCTACCTGTTGAAGAGCGACACGTGCGGGAGAGTAAGCTGTAGGAATATGATACCCCCAGTCAAAATGATTAATGTTAAGCCTTCGATAGCCTCTGGAAGTATGCATCAAATGTACGAATAACACATTGATGCAGTAGCTTCGACAATATCACAGGTCAGAATTGTATGCAAACGCCCGTCCGGGTCAGTGCTCTTCTGCACGGCAACAAACAAACGGCTGATACCGCACCCCAAATTGAACCCATCTCACCCTCTTCCAGGTCAAAAACAAACAGCATTTTGACTCTCCAACCAAGAGATATGCAGGCCCGCACGATCGACCGCTACATACCTGATCGCGACAACGCGTACCAACGCAGGTCCGACGCACCACGCTCTTCTTCAACTCTTATCAACCCACCCTTTCAAAGCGCTCCATCACCCCCAAGCTCCCACTATACACGCCGAAATTCAAGCCAACATACCCCATACGACGACACACCCACCAAGCTCGACAAGTCATTACCCAAGAACTTCCCCCAACCTCTAACCTGTTTCTTCTGGCACCAAAACGGACGATGCAACAAACGAGATATCGATTGCGCGTATGCACACTACGACACTGGGTTCATGGCCGGTGCGCCTGTTACTCCACTTGACTGTGCGTTTCCCTTCACTGACCTCCTAGCAACAACCTGCTGACCCGCTCCCAGCATCCAAGCCGCTCGCGGGTAGAAATCTCTCCAATCATAACAAGACCCTCGATTCCTCCTCCGCCCTTGTTATACCAGATATTCGTGACCGCGAGATCGCCGTCGTGAACCGCGAGATGGAGGTGGAAGAGCAACAGCGTGCGATTGAGCGGCGCGAAAGTGTGGTGGAGGGTAGAGAGAGTGATGTGGAGAGGAGGGAGAGGGAGGTAGAGGAGAGGGAGAGGTTGCTTGAGCGGAGGGAGGCGAAGTTGGCGAGGAAGAGGAAGGATGGTAAGGTTTTGGAGAAGAGGGTTAGGAGGATGGAAGAAGGGATGGGGAGACGCTAAGGTGTGTATGTGTTGTTGGTAAGGGGTGAGGTCGGAATCGAGTTGTAGAAAGTGCATCTTTGGGCTTTGACGTCAGAGTTGGTGGTACAGAAGATGGTGCATCTTGTATAATGTCTTTGGGTACATTACTGTGGAATGATTGTAAATCGTCTCTGTATTATTTACAAGTTACAAGCTAAATTGTGATCTTCTATTCCGATAGCCCTGGCATTACTCTTATGCCGATGCAGGTACTCTTATTCGCTCTACGATCGTCCTCTGGATCACGCGCCCGTTTGTGCTGTTTGTCCCGCACTTTGGTCTCTACCATCCAGTTCTTGCGAATTCCCTCTGCTTTCCGTCCGCGAAGAACGACGCGTGTTGATGGAAGAACGCCGATTGACACTGAACCACGTCAGTCGCACGACAGGCGAAAAATCCCGTTAGGAGATTTTGCGCAGCTCCAAATCGTCAGGGTATGCTGCGATACGATGCCCCGATTTCAATAGCGTGAAGGTATTCCTGTGCCAGCTCTATCGCCATGGATGCGTATGTTGATGGCTTTGTGGCGCATTGAGTTGGCCGTCTTCTCGCCACTCCTTATCGTAACCCCCCTCAGAAGTAGATGAAAGTCTCGATGCTCTCCGTCCGTCCATCAGACCTCTTAGTATCCTGTAGCACAATGCCCCCCTCTTCATCGACCATATGCGCATTTCCCGGCTCCCGAATATACCCATCTCTATCCACCCTCGAAGCCATGGTTCCTCTTGACCCCGACGTCCCTGAACTTGCCGACTTCCACCAGGTACCACCACCGCCCTTCTGGATGCTGGCATGCGTCGTGCCTTGGCTAGATCCACTGTACATACTCGTCGCCACTTTGAAGTAATGCGACAGGAAGACTTTGAGGGCAGGCGCACTCGCGCAGATGGCGCCGAGTTGGATTTCCAGCACGCAGAGCAACCATGCAGGCCAGGACTCCCAGGTCGAATCGTATAGGGGGCTGTTGAAGGTGCGCCACACGAAGTAGGAGCGTACGCCTGCGACGATGCAGACGAGGTAACCGAGAGCGAAGATAGCGCCAAGGGCGATCTTTTGGCGACGCGGGATGTGTAGGTTCCAATATAGGATTGTGGGAAGGAACGCGGCGATGGCATCTTGTACGGCGCTTATTATACTCGCTGATAGAAGGTCTGCCGCTTCATCGATCCAGCAATGGTATGCGTATCCTGTGAGCTGCTTGGTGATGTCGAATTGATACCAGAATGCGGTAAACGGTGTGCAGGCTGTGAAGAGGACGATGACGAATGCGATGGAGAAAATGGCGATGGCAACGATGTTTAGCCATGTTGCGATGCGGAAACTCTTCGTTATGGAGCGTGAGTCGAGACGGCGGTAGAAGAGCAGGATGGATATCTTGATCATCCCTCCTGCCACAATGTACAAAGCGTAGAGGGCGAAGGTTACTTGGCGCTCTGGGACGTACTTGTCGGGATGGACGTCCCAGATGTGTCGATTGAAATTGTAGCGTTCAGTCGCTAATGTGATCATTAGTATGAGATGGTAAGGTTTCGCGTGAGTGGCAACGTACCAAGACATGCGGTGACTGTCAGTCCAATTGTTGGGATCTGTAATCAATGTGTTAGTCTTCGCACATACAGTTTCAGTCACTGTGGGAGGCTCATACCATTGCAGCCAACATGATCCAGTCATCAACACCCGAGTTCCTTTGAATGACAGCTCTTGCCCATATTCTTGCTCCCACTACAGCAAGCATGATCGACCCCAAAGTACATGATGTGATGAGAACGGCTTTAGAGCGCGTGACGGGATCTTCGTAATTCGGAAGCGGCCAGGCCGCAAAGACTGAGACGGGAGGAAGGAGACCACTCGATCCTTTTCCATTAGGGCTGTATGCCATGTTGGACGTATGGAGGAAGAAAGCCGCGACTAGAGCGTGATAGAGAAAACAAAGTGGAATCGTAGTCCGAAATTAGATGTCAGCACCGGATATTCCGGATGTTTCGCATACAGTGTGGCCACGCCATATACTGGAAAACGAAGAGATCTCGAGTATCAGAATGAAGGGTCCGACGAAAAAGTAAATAAGACGTAGTTGAAGAACGTTTTTCAGCCATCCCACGCCTGTTACTGGAACTCTATTAGCTCAACCGCGGCAAACCCTTGCTATACTCCACGTCAGCCAGACCCTCCATCGATCTTGCCATGCCACGCCATTCCTCCATACAAAGTTTAGCTATCCCATCGCAAAACCGTCAACAGTAGCAGTGGCGGCGGCGGAGCAAACTAAGGCAGAGTCAGGTACCAAACAGTAGGTCGCTGCATCCTGGGGGGACCGCGGCCGTCCGTTAACGGTGCGGATCCGGAGCATGGCCTAACTCAAAAGGACCCTCAAACCAACTTGTTTAGGAAACTGGTATCCGATAGTCACGTCTTCCCGTACCATTGAGTTTATCCAGAGTTTGCGGACTGTTCGGAGAAGCGACGCTCGGCCGGATCGCGTAGCGCGAATCTGCAACCGGCGGCACCGGTATTGGAACTGTTGACTCCCCAACCTGGGAGATGAGAAGGTCGCACAGTGGCTGCGTCTTCTGTGGGGAACTGAATCGTGGAGACGTGAACGGTGGATAGACAAGAACGGGATGTACGAAGTAGCGCTAGACGCAGCTTCCAAGTATCGCACCAGCACACGTGGTATCAAGGGACGTGCGTCTTCTCGGCCTGCTTACCGTTCAGGGAGGGAGCTGTCAAAGTTAAACCGCAACATTGTAAGTCGTCAGCGACGTGGACGAACTTTAATCGCTCTCGTGTTCGCAGTTCTCGGCACCCGAGGACTGGAGAGATGAAGAAATCCATGATGATCTGGATGATCCATGATCGAATAGATCGTGCAGCGCATCGCCTAGACCGCGCTAATGCAAGTACCGGCGATCACCGCTGCAGGTCACCAAACCTTAACAACGGTTCAAGGCACGCCGTAGATCGCCAGTCTAACGACTGTTCGTCGCGTCAATGGACCCTTTTGGATATAGCATGGGTGGCGAATGCCGAGGGACCATTTGGTTCTGGAAGTTTTCGAGCCAATGTTTATCTGATTGAGAAACGGGTTTTATAACAACAGTTTGCCAGTAGGAAACACTGACAGGATGAATGTAAAGAAATCCTTGTGGAAAGACGAACGGAGTTTACAGATCCACTCCTGACCTTGATACGACAGTGCGAAACACAAACGAAACAATGCGGCTGAACGCCGTGGTATGACAGATGTACGCCATACAAGCCCACCCGGGGCCCAATGCACCAAACGCCAAGCTAATCACAAAGGGAAAGAGTTGACGCCATCGCCATGCAAGTCTTGCGTATGTTTACAGTTCGAGCTTCGCGACTCATGGGCGTGCTGCAAGCCGTGGAGTGCTTTCGCTCGTACGACCCTCTCCGAGGGCGCTTATGATTGTCCGGCGTTTCCGTGCCTACGTTTGTCGTTCTTTTGCACTTTTTGTACGCGACTTGGAGCGTTCCCGAGTCACGGCGTCTTTCAACGCCTTCAATCGTTCCTCGGTCACACGAATCGCTTCGTCCATCTCCCGCGCCTGCATGTCATGCGGTGCTAGAGGCTTCTGCGTGCCGTCCTCCGGTTGAATGTGTGCCCCCCTGACGGAGCTATGCACTCTGTCCAAAGCAACTCTTTCTTCAAGCCAGTTCCAGAGATCTGACTCTTCGTGGCGCCAAATCTCCTCGTACGCAACCTGACGTTGAGCCGTCGACCATTGGTTTGGACCAGTCGCCGTTGATGTACCTCGGAACAGCCAGGTGTACATCAGAAGCGCTCCGAGGATGACGATGATGACTTGCGGAGTGAAGATAGATTCCAGGATATCAGCAAACGGCCCAAGGAGACTGCGCAAAGGCTCCAGTAGCCCCCAGTTGCTCTGCTTTGCCTGACTAGTGGGGACGGGAGCGGTGGCAGGCATGGGCGCTTCATCCAGAAGATTGCCCTTGGATCGCCTCTTGCCCTTTCCGCCTTTTCCGGGTACGCGAGCCGGACCGGCTTTCGCCGCACTCACGGCAGTGCGGAGAGCGGCTGTAAGGGAGGTTGCGTACGACATTTGACCGTCATTCGCGCCCTTCTCGATAGGACCTGGAAATGTTAACATGTTTTCTGCGTCGAGGCGGATACTACCTACCCTTCAGCCAACTCTTTCCACTCCACTCCACCGTGAAGGTCATGATGAGCCGCGTACTGTTCCCCGGGCCCCACATCAGACAATACCTCGTCTTTGTGAGGAATATGCTGCCGTTGGGTACGTCCGGAGTTGCTGTGCTGCAAAGCACGCTTACGGCCTTGTCCAAATCGTACTGTTCCAGGTTCATGGCGATATTACACTTTGTCTGCCGCGGTCCGACGGGTGCGTTGAGCGGCTTGATATAGGAATAATTGAATGTCTTCATGTCTTCACCCAGCCCCTTCTTGTCGTCTTCCATTTGCAAGTCCAGGGACTTTTGGTCCTCCACGAGCCATTTGCGCATGAACACACCAGAAGCTGGACCGAACATCAAGCTATAGACCTTGCCGAGGGGCGCAGGGATTGTCGTGTCGATAAGTAGTTTGTCGTAATGCTGGTCGCTGTCACCACACTCGGTGGGTCCATGAGCTGTTGAGCCAGGAAAGTCCTGTCCAGCAGCGGCAGTGCCATTCGTGGCTACTTTCGCAGCCTCAGCCGTCTCACCACCTCCGCCAAAGGCTTGTGATACCGCGCCGCTCACTTTTCGGGTGGTCTCGCCTGCCACAGAGCCAACTTCGCTACCAGCGATACTACCTTCGCCAGGTTCGGTGAAACTGCCAGTGCCTTCGTCGTCATCCGCGTCTTCATCGTACACCTCATCATCCGAGTCCTGGATAGAGCCGTCTTCACTGCCGATAGATTCCGCTTTCTCGGTTTTGTCACCGGTGCCACCGGAACCGTCAAGCGTTACACCGTTGAGGGACGACTTGAGATTGGGGTGCGAGATTTTCCAGATGCCGATGATTAAATCGTAGGTAGAGTCTCGTGACAAAAATGACGCGAACACGTTGCGAGCGTGAAGTGTCTGTATGACGATGGCGTTTGGAAAGAGGACAGCTGTGGACTTTTTCTCGACAGAGACGACTTCGTCAAAGCTGATGACCAAGTTTGTGACCCATCCGAGGATGTTACTGGAAAAGCAAAGATGCCCTTCGGAAACATACAGACGTCCATGGAGCAGAATCTCTTTCTGGAGGGCCGCACTATAGTCCTCGATGAGATAGTCATCCTCGGGCACGCTTTTGAACAGTGCGTGAAAATCCTTGTTTCGCCTAGGGGGTGCAACTGCGAATCCAGTTCCGTTCAGACGGTGACTGTTCAGTGCTGCGCTCGGCGCCAATGTACTTGTACTTGCACTGATGACACCACCCAGAGTATTACCGGTAGTAGCGGAGCTGCCCCTATGCCGTCTCCGCCTGCCACCGCTTATACGACTGCGTATACTGCCTTGACGTTGAATCGACGCTGGTGAGTCGGTTATCTCAGGTTGCCGTGGGGGAGACTGCGCGCCCGTCCCTGATTGACCAGAGACAGCGGTCAACGATCTTGGGCGTTCACTAGCTATTGATGGAGGCTTCTCTCCTGCGTACGCGGCTGAAACGGCCTGAGCAGCAGCTCGGTCCTCGACCTGGGCCGATGCTTCATCAGCCTTCATGGTGACGCTAGTTGCAGAAGACATTGGGCTGACGTCGTTGCTCTCGGCGATTCCAAGTTGGGCTAAGCTCAAGTTGCCAGATCCCAGTGTTTCAATGGCAGGTCTTCGCTTCTCGGCGCCTTCACTCGCGTTGGTGTCTGCGTTGTCGGGACCGATAACCTCTTCACCACCGTCTGGAGTATCGTCGTCTTCCTTTTGCTGTTGCTGGTTGGGCTTGTTCTTGATGTTTGTGTTGTTTGCAATGGTGTCACCCAAGTTGTTGGCAGCGTTCTGCGCGGCAGAGAAGATGGAAGCGAAGAATCCACCAGGCCCACCAGGAGACGATGGAAGTACAGCAGTCCCTCCAGGGGTCTTTGCTTCCTCGAGGTGAGGAGTCAGAGGTGGTATTGACGAATGTGATAGCTTGCTCGGAGGATTTGTGGCTGATCGCGCGCGTCGGTGCGATATCATGTTCCCCGAAGGGGAGACGACTACGTTGGGATTCGAGTTGGTCTTGTCGTGCTTCACAGTGTTCTTGGAGCTGGTGGATTCGGTCGGGGAAGAAGGCTTCGGATCGGTTGGGGTGGGTGGTGTTATGAAGGTGGTGGGTGCATCAGATAGATTGGGGGGCGTCGCGGGGAGCGAGGTAACGATGCGCTTCGGGGCGACGGACCTCAGCGAAGGCGTAGATTTTGTTTCCTGCCCTGTGTGTATCTGTGGTGGTGAGGCTTGGAGCGGATCATCCAACACCCTCGTCTCGCGCTTCTTTCCTCCAAACAAGGCTCCTAGTCCACCTCCGCTCGTACTCGGTCGTGCGACGTCAGGGCTAGCACCTGGCTTAGGATTCGGGGACGTAGACCTTTTGTTGGGTGTGAAAGCTTCCTTGAGCTTGCCGACAGGAGACACGCCCCGCTTGTTCGCAGCGACGTTGGTGGAGTTGGCGTTCCGGGCAGCGGGCTCTTGGGTAGAGGCTTGTGAGTCTACGAGAGTGACATTGGTGGAAGTGGTCGAGTCAATCGTTTCGGAAGCGATCAGGGGCGATGACAGCGTCAAGAGGCCAGCATGCGACTGGTGTGGTGAAATGCCAGGACGTTTGAGCGGTGGTGGGCTGCAGCGGGTTAGTCGGAAGGAACAGGCCGAGTGGGTACGTATGCGGCGAAGAAATACGAAAGAGGGGCGTAATGAAGAGTGTGGACAAATGGAACAGCGACAGCCAAGGAGTGTACGAGATACGAGGCGATGATGTGGGAGGTGTGATGTGCTAGTGGGGAAGCTGAGGCCAGAACGTATGCCTGTTCGCGGTGGAGTCCATGCGAGCGGCGCCAATGCCACGAGGCAAACCTTGCACGCCGAACTTCAATGGACGCGCAGCAAATGCAAATAATAGTGCACCTGAGACAGGGAGGAGAGTGGAGAGCAAAAGGAACGGCTGCGACTTACGCTTCCGGGTCGGAGTCTTCGGTGAGCAGGCTGCTGGCGACGCTCTTGGCCAGGCCCAGCGAGTCGTCGCTCTGGTATGGCTGGCCCATGCTCGGCCGTCTAATTGTAGGAACGGGCGGGACGTCGTCATGGGGGTCGACTTGCGACACGTCGTCCTGGCTGACGGAGCCTCTGCCCTTGGAGCGGCCTTTGAAGAGCGTCGACATGCGCCGGCGGCGGGACGAGGACGCGTCGCTGCGGGCGTCGTCGGAGTTCTGGCGGCTCCTGAAGCGGTCCATGGCGCCGTCGCTCGACTTGCGCAGCAGGTCGTCGTTGCCGTCGCTGCTCGCAATCGAGACGGTCGACGAGTCCGGGCCCTTTGAGTGCGCGCGGGGTGCAGCCAGCGAGTTGTCCTTGTCCTTCTGGCCGAACATGGAGCCAATGCTCCTGCGCCGCTCGGAGGCCATTGTGGGTTGGAGGGTGTGCTATAGAGCGCAGCGCACTATGAGGGAGTTGAGCGTCTCGTTCTTGTCTCAGACGCGCATATCGATGTTGCGACGCGGGTGAGGGCCGTGTTTGCTAGGTCGGTTGGAGGGTCGATTACGTAGGGAGCGGCTACGGTTCGCGATGCGCTTGGGACGGCACTGGACAGGCTACGGCAGGGTGGCGGCTGCAATGGCAATCATGGTGGGCAGCAGCTTGCAGGGCGTGTTTGGAGGGGAGAAGAAGCAAGCTGGCCAGGCATGCGAGCTGAAACCAGGCGGGCGAGCTGCTCGTGTTCTGGTTCCAACGTCTCCAGTAGCTGCGGGTCTTTAGCCCAGTGATCTACTCCGCAGTGACATGGGGGGCCGCCTTCGCATCCCTGTCGACGTGACCGCGACCCTTCACGCACATGTGATGCTGCCTTTATGCACAGCGACTCCATGAACATGTCCACCCCCTGCCTCTGCCACCACCATGGAGTCTGCACATCTCATCCAGGCCCACGACCACGCCCGCACTGCCGCGACCGCCACCAGCACCAACAGCGTCGCAACCGCGGGGCAGGAGCATGACCTCGCCGCGACCGCCTTCCGCAAGGCCACCCAAGATACCCACGATGCTGAGGTACGTAGTCTGAAGCAGGCTTTCCCACCCGTCTAAAGCGTTGCAGGCCCTCCGCATCCTCAGTCTCCTCGAAGACCACCACCGCAAGCTCGCCGGCCTGATCAAAGAAGCGCCGCGCAAGGATAAGAAGAAGACGGACGCTGCCAAACAGCCCTCTGAGTCGTCCGTCATCTCTCCTTCGCCAAACACATCCTCGTCGCGAGCCTCTGCAGCCAACACATCTTCTCCGACACCCCCGACATCCCGCCGCAGACTGCCCCAGTCCTCGATAGCCACCAATCTCGCCGAGAAGCGCGGCATCCCCAGCGCGAAGAGAACCACCAGTGGCGCGTCAGCAAACATACCCAGCACCACAGTCGGCCGGAATGAGCAGCCTTCCACGCCTGTGCGCGATCTACTGGCGCAGCAGTCGCGCAAAGCAGAGTCGAGTGCCACCAGAGACTCAACCAAGCAGCTGAAAGGCGTCTGTCCACAACCTGCGTCTCCGCCCGCAGAGGACAACTTCAGTCGCTTCTACTCGGCTTTTGGGGGCGTCATATCCGCCATCAGCGCTCCTCTAGCCTTCACCTCCCTTCCCCTCAACCCCTCCGCTCCTACGCCTGTGTCGGAGACGCCTAGGGAAGAGAAATCCTCCAAGACCAAGTCCCGAACGCACTCTCCGGAAGCGTCCAGAACCGTCAAATCCTCAGTACCAGATCTCGCTGCCTTGATCAGCAAGCCGGCACTCCGCGCCCTGAGAGAGGATGGCGCACCCGGGCCCAACGAAAGCTTCTACCTGGTGCCAACATCGAGCGGAGCAGTCACCTACGCCAGCATCCTTCGCGATCCGAATGCGCCAAATGCACCAAACACACAGCTGAATGCCATCGATGAAGGATCGGGCTCGCTGAGAGGCAGTTCACACGAAGAGTTTGTCGACGCGAGAGAGAACGTAGGCCCGCCGTCACCCACCAAAGCACGCCGCCCCCCTTCTCGCGGCAACTCCAGCACATCCGTAACGCCCCAGCGCTCCATACCAGCCGGCCGAGGCTCAGGCCTCAAGACCATGGAGGAGCTAGCCCTGGAAAACGACACGCTGAAATCAGTCATCGACAAACAAGCCAAGCGCATCCAGATGTGGGAACTCAACTCCCAGAACTCCTTCAACGCCCTCGCACAGTCCTTCCGTGCTCGAGGACCCGGACGTGGCTCCAGCGATCCCAATGCACTCGCCCACGCCCTCGCTTCTCAGGGCATCAACACCCTTCCTGCTCTCCCTTCCCCTCCCATACCAGGCCACCCCCAACAACAACCTAGTTCCCCCGGCCAGCCTCCGACATCCGCCCCCGACGCCGAAGCTGCGAAACGCATTGCCGAACTCGAAGCCAGGGTCGCCTCACAAGACGCAAAGTACAATGATTTGTTGAGTGCCAATGAGAAGCTGGCCAAGCAAAACGAAAGGGACAAGCAGGTGTTGAGCAGATATAGAGAACAATGGGAGAAACTAAAGGCGGGCGCGAGGAAGAAGGAGCTGGAAAGACGGGAGAGGAAGGTTCCGGAGGGCAAAATCGAAGAGTCGATGAAAGAAAGTGTGGCTACTGAGACACAAGGGGAGGGAGAAGCGGAAGAGGAGTTGGAGGAGGAGCCTGGGTTTGGAAAGGCTTGAAATCGCGCTCTTGATGTGGTCAAGATGAGAAAGTACATATCAATATACCCCAAGCTAGTACAGCTAGCCGAGATAGAATACAGACACAGACACAGACATCACTTTCATAGACCAATCGCGTTCGCACAGTGTACATTTCCATGAAAATTGCATTACTATAGAAATACCTAAGGCCTGGTCAAGATCCGCCTTTCGACCCGACATATCTTCCTTGTCAATTTATCCCTTTGTTCCCATAACGCCGCTATAGCCATTCCCCCAAGATCCCTAAAACGCAACCAACACATTGCCATCAGACATGGAACCGACCCAGTCTAAGCAGCGGAAGCAACGGGCTTCTGCATAATAGGCTGGTAGGAAGGAGCGACGGGCCCGCCCACCGTAATGTCCTGGTTTTCCATACCCGCTGCGTGACCCTCAAAGTCTGGCGCATCAGGGTGGCAACCAACGCGCTCCTTGCTCAGCAAGTCTACAAGAAGAGCGCTGGGCTTGTTGCTCTTGTCAGAGAACTGGTTGTTCTTGTACTGTGCCACGTTCTCCATGTACTTGTCGAAGAGGTAGGCAGAGTCAAGAGGGCCGCCCTTGGCTTCGGGATGGAACTGGGCACTGAAGATGGGACGCGAGTTGTGGATCAGACCCTCGTTGGACTGGTCGTTGAGGTTGGTGAAGTACTCCCTCCATTCGCTGGACAGGGTGGTTGGGTCGACCGCGTATCCGTGGTTCTGCGAAGTGATGTGGCACTTGCCGGTGGTGAGGTCGAGAGCCGGGATGTTGTGAGCACGGTTACCGTACTTGAGCTTGATGGTCTTTGCACCGGCAGCAAGGGCGATGAGCTGGTGACCCATGCAGATGCCCATGACGGGGATCTGGGAGGTCTCGAACAGTTTGCGCAGGTTGTGGACGGTGGTGGTGCAGTGAGTTGGGTCACCAGGGCCGTTGGAGATGAAGACACCGTCGAAGTGGTGGGCGACCTTGTGGATGGGGTAGTCGAAGGGGAAGCAGGTAACGCTAGCACCGCGAGAGACGAGACTGCGGAGGATGTTCTCCTTGACACCACAGTCGATCAGAGCTACGTGCATGTCGCCCAGGGAAGAGCTGACGTGGAAGGGAGCCTTAGTCGATACACGACGCACGAGGTTGATAGCCTCAGGGTCGATGTATGCCTCATCCTCATCAGCATCGTACTCCTCACCGATCGAGATGCGAGCAAGAGAAGAACCCTGCTCACGGAGGTATGTTACAACCTCACGAGTGTCAACGCCGGAGATGGCGGGGACACCCTCTCGAGCACACCATTGTGCGAGTGACTCTACAGCAGTCCAGTGGCTGTGCTTTAGAGCATAGTCTTGGACGACAATGCCAGAGGCTTGGATGTGTGGTGATTCGAAGTATCGGAGCAAGCCGTGCTCGTCGCGGGCGTTGGAGGGGACGCCGTAGTTGCCGATCAGCGGTTGTGTGAAGACGAGGATCTGGCCACGGTAGGAGGGGTCGGTCATGGACTCGGGGTAGCCGACGAGAGAGGTCGTGAAGACGGCTTCACCGGAAATGTTCGTCTTGGCTCCGAAAGACTTGCCTTCGAAGATGGGGCCGTTCTAGTCAGCTGTTAGCGATGTGCCGAGATCTGCAGTATGACTCAACGCACCTTGATGGTGAAGGTCGCGGGCTCGTTGGAGACAGCTGTAGCCCTGCGCATGCTGGGAGTAGGAATGGCACGTTGTGTGTTTCCTTCCACAGTAGCGAGGCAGCGTGCCTGTACACGGTTCTGTGTCATTCGTCCCAGGAACCCTGCGGACCGCATGGTGGAAGGCTTGATCATTTGCGACAACATGATGAGCGGAGATGTGAGGAGATGTAGTGATTCGTTTGGTGGCAGCTTGGGTAGGCGTTCAGTTTACTGAGGCCTTCCACAGGTGGTCTGCGGATAGAGTCAGTCTGACGCTCACGACGCGTCTAGCTACGGGCGACATCGTACCTGACAGGTAATCCTAAGGTGTTCAATTAGCCACAGTCATGATAGAAGAATCGAAGAAAAAAATCAAGAGACGAATGCATCGATCGTCAAGCCACCAAGAGGCAGAAAGGCCGGCGGTGAATTGACGGTGTGCGATGCAGGTCCCGATAAGGGCTCATCAACCATCGCAGTAGTGACATACCTGGGAAGTGAAGACTGTCGGGGCAGCTTTCATAAGCGCGGTAGTAAAGCCAGTCGAGGTCCAAAGGGGCTGCCTATCTGAGGCGAAGCTTGACGTGCTAGCTTTGAAGGTGTTGAGTTTGCGTGAGGTGAGGATGGAGAGTAATCGGAGGGGCTTTTCTGCCCCAGCACCAAAATCACGCTAAGGCGCAATGACACGCACCTGCGCCAATGACAACCTTTACAATATACTTTCGGTCACGATAACGATAGGTCGCAAAGTTTCTTCAACACAGGATCCATATACTATGACAAACGTCCGGGGAAACTGGAAGATGAATGCCGGCCCCGCTATCAGGTCTCTTTGAGCCTTACCTGGCTGCCGCGTAGCGTACGCTGTCCCCTAGTACTGTCGCGAGAGTCTGGTAAAGGTTGTGTCTTACCGTCCAAAATTGAGGCTACAAAAATACCCACATCAATCTATGTATCGGGGCAAGTAATATCCAGGCTCTAGAATCGCTGTACGAGATGTGTTTGTAGCCGTCTAGCTATTGCGCCTTCGAGTTTGACTACCACGTGGCGTAGGGTATGACGAGCATTTTTCACCTAATGTGGCGTCTTATCTTGTCGATCGCAGCCTGAAAGTGTTCTCCGGAGAGGATTTTATGGTCTCCGCACGCAAATGAGGAGTGACTGTCACAGTTTTGCTTTGTCCCGATATCGGCATCATGACGATCGAAAGCTTCATAATTTGCCGAATGTGTCTCCGCACATCCGCTGAATCCGCATGTCAGCCCCTGAAGAACACACAACTCGGATTCCCTGAGAGTTCCATGTGCTGAACCCAAAGGGGGAAGTTTATGGCAACAACGGTGATCACGACTTTTTTCTTCACGAGCAATCTCTGTATTTCTACTCGACTATTGAGCACGATGGATGATGCACTTATTCCAACCAGCTTGGCCTCTAGATCACATCACTAAACAGTGATCTTACCTGTCAGCCTCACATCCCTGGAACTCGATCCTACAAAGATCTTGTACTCTCCAGTCGCAACGCTCCACTTCCTGGTCTTCTCATCCCAGAAGCTCATATCCCTTCTCCTCAGCTTGAAGGTAGCAGTTCCGCTCGCACCAGCTGCCAGCTTGAGCTTCGCAAATCCTCTCAATTGCTTGGGAGGCGAATTGGTCGACGCAGGGTAGCCGAGATACAATTGCGGAACTTCTGCACCTGCAACACCACCAGAGTTGTTGATTTTGGCTGTGATGGTTGCGACCGTCTCGAAGAGATCGACAGGGCCTCCGGGACCCTTGGCACCGGTTGCGGGACCAGCCGAGGGCTTGCCTGAGACGCTGAGGTCGGAGTAGGTGAAGTTAGTGTAAGAGAGACCGAAGCCAAACTCGAATCTGGGTGTAATGTTTTGCTGGTCAAAACGACGGTAGTCGATGAAGAGGTCCCAGTTCTTGTCGTCGCCCCTGGCAATGGTGGTACCGTAGTCTGATTCCTTCTTCGCAATGGTGTAGGGGAGCTTGCCGCTTGGCGAGGCAGCGCCGTAGAGGATGTCCACGAGGCCGTTTCCGGATTCCTGACCTGGCAGGCCTGCCCATACAACGGCTACTACGTTCGGGTTTTCGATCTACGCACGTCAGTGGATGTCTCACATGCAGTTTGCGGGTTGGATTTCTTACCCATTGTTCCATGATGACGGGACCGACGCTGTGGACCACGACGACGGTCTTCTTGTTGACGGCAGCAACTGCCTTGACCAACTCGTTTCCGTTATGCCACGGGTCCAGGTTAGTTCGGTCGCCAGCGTTGCCCTCAACAGTGATGTAACCCTCGCCACCATCGCTGTTGATGCACACGACAGCTACATCAGCGTTTTGGGCTGCACTGGCTCCCTGTTGCGCATTGTCGTTTGGTGAAGAGGTGATGGTTGTGCCATCTTTTTGAGCTTGCGTCTTCATGGCATCGAGAGGAGCGATGAGGTAGGGGAACTCTACTGATCCAGATCCCCAACCCATAGCTAGCGTGCCGTCGTTGCATCCGCGATCAACGCATGCGTTAGCTCCCTTAGGCGCAACGATGCTGTCGCTCCCGATGACAGCGATGCTCTTGGGCTTCTTGAAGGGCAATGTAACGTTTGTGTTCTTCAACAAGACGATACCATCGCGGGCCGTAGCACGGACGTTCGTCTTGTGGTTGCCACCGACCTGACGAGTGCCGATGTTCCAGGAGCTAAAGGTGGCATTGGGATAGCCCTTGTCCTGACCAAGGAGGTACCAGGAAGAGAGTACGCGCTTGACCATGTCATCGAGGCGAGATTGTTGAACCTGCTTTTTGTCGATGGCGGACTGAAGCTGTGGGCCCCAGAAGACGTTGCCCCCACTGAAGTCGGTGCCGGGCATGGTCATGTCCATTCCACCGTTTGCACTGCCGGTCGTCGTGTGTTGAGCTAAATGAGGTCAGCTTGTGAAACATATTTGAAGAGTGTGCAGATGACCTACCATTCCAGTCACTCATGATGTATCCACGATGGCCAAGTTCGTCTTTCAGGAGCTTGTTCATCACACCATCGCTCTCGCAGGCCCAAGTTCCGTTGACCTTGTTGTAACTGCACATAAAGGCCGCGACGTTGCTGTGGACTGCATCCATGAATGGCCATACATAGAGCTCGCGAAGCACTCGATCCGACACGTCTGAGCTCATAGTCTCTCGGTTGAGCTCTTGTTCGTTGACAATCCAGTGCTTAGCTGTCGCTTGAACACCGGATTCTTGCATACCCTCAATGGTCTCTGCCATCATAATGCCTTGGAGGTAGGGATCGGAACCGAATCCTTCCCAGTTTCGGCCACCGTTGGCAAACTTTCCGAGAGGTCCAGCTGAAGGTCCGAGCTGGACGTGAACGCCCAGCTCCTTTGCTTCAGCACCAAGGAAGGCGCCGCGTTCACGAATGAGATCGAGATCCCAGGTGCTGGCGGCATGGATAGCTGCGCTGAATGCAGTTACACCTTGGATGTAGCGAACGCCGAGGGGTCCATCTTGAGGCTGTTAGTAAGAATCCTGTTTTGAATGTACGCATGCAGTGAGCAGGCGTTGAGAAGTGGGTTCGACGTGACCTGGCCACGCTTCAAGTTCCAAGCACCGAAGTCGCTGAACACAACATATTCGTAGGGTCACAGCATCTTGACTCCGATGCCACAAACCACGGGCCGGCTCGAAAGTAGTGAGACATATTTGCTTACCTTGCAGACAAAGCGACGGATATCCAATCGAGGCAGCCGGTTTGGTGTTGCCAACGCAGTTACCGTTCTGCCAGCCAACACCCGTAACGATGCCGATCTTCTCGCTCTGTGATAGTTTTGCAAGAGCAGCAGTCGCTTTCGCATGGGCATCGTCCCAGTTTCCGACGGCACGCTTCGAAGAAAGTAATTCAGACGGAATGGCTGCATATGTTAGTAGTGAACACGTAGTTGCATGTATCATAGATGTAGGTACCTGAAGCTTGCGACAAAGCAGCCGTAGCGAGCACAGGAAGAAGAAAAGAACGCATCGTGCTCGAGATCTCAACGGTCTAAAAGCTGTACAGGAAACCGTATGGATCGCAAACAATTACTCGGGCATGTCTCCTATTAAATACCCGCGGATCGTCCATGCTGCGCAACGCACAAGCCCGAGACTGTTGTTTTTCGTCAAAATTGGCCCTTGGCGAAATGCCAGCATCCAGCACGGTAACCCCAGACCCCAAGAAACTTACAAGCCGCATGACGTGTGATGTAGAGGGGTGATCGTTGAATTAGATGAGACGGTGAGAGGGAGTAAATGGAGGCGGGCCGTTGACCCAGGGTCTACAGCCGGTGACTAGGGTCAGCCGCGAATCAAACTTCGGAACACTGCATCACAAGCGGACGTTGCCCCGATAAACAATTACTGCACCCTTGACATTCGCAGTGGACGTTGTGGGGAACATGCGGCTCAGTCGTGTGATGGTTAATGAACTGCTTAGGTGAACTAGTCTGATCAAGTGATGGTCTCTGCTATTCGCTAACCCGAGGACCCTAGTAATACAGGACGCTACATCGCGCCCAAGGGCTTAGCACAAACTTACTGCAATAGGAGCGAAGTTTCTTAATTGCAGGCCTTCAAGGGTCAATTGCTTGAACGGCCTTGTACACTTAGCCTTTGCGCATTGTGGTGTGGAGCTTCCGTGCTTCCACCCGCCCTGCCTGTGCTGGCATTGCGGAAAAGTAGCGTATGCCTCAACGTACAACATGCTTTCCAGTCTAAATCTCCTGTCAGCACTGCAAAAGTTGTATGCATGTCTCAGACACCTACATGACTACAAAGTTGGCATCATGTCAAGATATTCGCCTGTTGTAGCACTCTGCCTATCGTCACAAGGCCTGCGCATTTGTGCTAAGCCTGACGTTTGGCGGGTGCTGAGTCATTTGTCGCTTGAGTTGTAAGACTTTTACCAGACATAAAGATCCTCAGGAGTAGTCAGCGTATTCGCAGTCATCGTCCAGTCGTAAGCAGTATGCGCACGATGGCCTTTCTTCTGTACACTTCCGTCGTCTCTGCTTGTAATTAAGACAGCCGTTCTTTGAGCGCTTCTTGTTGTTCAACACTTCATACTGACAGGTCCATAGTCCTCTTCGGCACTGGTTGCACGTCGGTTTCGCCTCGTTGCATTTGATCTTCTTTCCGCGACAGCGGATGCAAGCCTTGCCAGGAGCAGGTAGCGACGGCGGTGATGGTTCACTGACAGGCGCCTTTTCCCTCGATTTGGTGGGTGATGCAGGCGATTTGGCATTCTTGCTCTTCTTGGTGGATGGTTTCCGCACTGTCCTAGGAGAGGCCACGGCACCACTTCCCTTGCGCCTCTTCTTCGTCGATGAACTTGGAGCTTCCGGAGACATTGACATGTCCATATCTGGGTCCCCGAAGTCGTTGTCTGCTTCAACAACATTCTTTTTACTACGTTTTCTTTTGCGCGGTTCCTTTTCTTCCGTAGCAGCGGCAGTGGGAGCAACGCCGTTATCTGTGGCTAAGGCAGGTAGGCTATTAGAAGTTAGTTTGGATGTCGCTCAACCAGTGTCTTTTGCTGCCCCGACGTACCCGGCATCAATCTCGCGGGTGGTATGGATAGGATTATGCTTATACACGACATTTATGGCCTCTCTCTTGAGTGAGAATTTGATGTGTATTGCGCCTCCGCAGTCGTAGGTCGGCAGCACAGCCGGCCCCTGCTTGTTGACTCCAGCCTCGTCGTCGTCGCTATCGTGAGACCTTTCTTTCTTGAGGTTGCTTTTGCGGTTCTGGACGCTGTCTTGGCAAACATACTACTATCGTCAGCCACAACGAGGAACAGGTTATCAATTTGGCAGTGCCTTACCTTGAGCCTGGCACCATCACCGCCTTCTTTACTCTGCGCAGAGCGCTCGGAGTACTTGAAACCATCGGTGTCCTGAATGGCTTCGATGATGGATCTATCGTGCATAAGCGAACATAGTGCAGATATGTAGGCTCAAGTACCTCGCTATTGCTCGCTGCACCTTGAGCCTGTCTTTGCCATCAATATCACGACACAGCGCATACTCGGCAGCAATGCTCTGAAGGTGATCGGCTGGTTGTATGAGCGCGTCAAGGCTCGGCTGCTGCGTCACGGGAATGGTGATGGTTGAGGCTGTCGCAAAAATGAACTCGGTCACCACGTCTGTGGGAATGAAGCTGGCTGCGTTCTTGTCCAGCTCATTGCGCAGAGCTCCCTCCAGTGACTGTTACATGACAGTTTAGCTACATCGATACAGATTGCGAAGATGATATTACTTCGAGCGTAGGACAGCGGTAGTAGACATCGGGACTCAGCCCCTTGTGAAAACGAAGATCCAATTCGTCTTCGAGGTCATCCATGGCAGCACTGGCATAGGATAGATTGAGGCGCGACGGCTAAGTGATGTGCGGCGCCGCTCTCGTGCGTGATGCAACCGTGAGATGAGACGAATGGAGACAGATGGGGAGGGAGCGCCCTAGCTCCCGGGAGACGAGGTTGTTCCGTGCCGAGGCGAGATGCTGATTGGGCGAGCCGGGGTCTGCCAAGGTTGCCCTGCAGCATTCTAAGATTCGACTCAATCGGCAATGGGTCAAGCTGCACCTGGCTCGCATGTCGCGTGAATGAGCTGTCTGTGGGCGAGTACATAGGGGTTGCGCTTATGGCAATATACCAGCTTTGGCCGAAGCCAGCGGAGGTGTGTTGTAAAGAAGGGCTGTCGATCCTGGACGTGTTGTGTGCTACTACGGATGATTCATTACAGGCCGACTTCTTGCGCAAACACCGCCAGGCCATGCTATTAGAGGACGATCAGCCACGTTGTCCATGTGCACGGTTCGTTCCCAAATCTGGGGCTCACTGAGCTTGTCTGGGATCTCGCTGGGCCATAGGTAGCATGCGCGCTGGCATCAGAGGCAGCGTGTATTCACAGCCGTGTCTCGCTGCGTCTATCAAGCCAATGTCGGCCGCTGTTGGCGGTGGGGTCGTGTCTGCGGCGCTGCAGCAATGGGTCTGCCACGCGTTGGGTCAGTCCAAGGCGCCCCAGGTCTGGCCAGCAGAGGCCGCAAAATAGGGCTTGAAATTGTGCAGCCGTACATAATAAGCCGTCTCCGAGCTACGGGCGGGAGCCGATGCAAGGCTATGATAACAGCCCTAGGCCGCTTTCACTGATTGGCGTCTTCCAGCTCAAGGGATTCGGCTGCCGTAGCTAGAGCGCAACCTCACTCACGCCCTCCAAACGTCCCGTCGCCCTCTGTGAACTCGCCTCGTCGCTGGCTGCTGCTGCGCCTGTACTGTCCTTGTCCGGTCGCGAGCCTCGTCGCTAGCACTGCCTCAATCGCTCGCCGCATTGTCCGCCCACCGGCTCACCAGAACCTGGACCAAGTCTAACGGGTGGTGTTTCACGCTCCAACCCACGTAGCACCCGCCGCCGCCGCCGCCGTCTGCACGAGGACTCATAGGTACGCCTGCCCGAGTCTGCCATCACAGCCAGCGCCAGCAATTGTGAGACTGACCCGTCTGCCAGACGCTCCCCGCTCCCTGGAACCCCTCGTTTGAGCCCATAGCTCCCATCTCCGCACGACCACGACCCTGAGCCTGCGTAGCGACAGCTCCGCCCCATCTCCGCACGCCTATCTCGAATTTTGGTAGCCGACGTGCCTCCAAACAAACATCCATAGCCTCGAAACAAATCCCAGCCTGCCTTCACCATGGTGGTCGCGACAATCAAGTACGCGAAACCTAACATGCCCGGCGTGCGACCGCCGTGCTCCAGATGCTAGTGCTTACTACCCTACAGGTGCGTCGTCGTCGGCGACGGTGCGGTCGGAAAGACATGTCTTCTTATCAGTTATACCACGAACAAGTTCCCCTCGGAATATGTCCCTACAGTCTTCGACAACTACGCCGTGACCGTCATGTGAGCTTCCCTCTGCTCTTTGTACAATTTGGAGGAGCGGCAAACCCTCGGTGGATTTAGGTTTGGGACTGTGATTGGTAGAGCAGCTGCTGACTGCTTTGAAGGATCGGTGACGAGCCATACACCCTCGGTCTCTTCGATACTGCCGGACAGGAAGATTACGACCGTCTCCGGCCGCTGTCATACCCCCAAACCGACGTCTTCCTCGTCTGCTTCTCCGTGACTTCACCTGCTTCTTTTGAGAACGTCCGCGAGAAATGGTTCCCCGAAGTACATCACCACTGCCCGGGCGTGCCCTGCCTGATCGTCGGCACACAAGTAGATCTGAGGGAGGACGCTGCAGTAAAAGACAAGCTCTCAAAACAGAGAATGGCGCCTGTAAAGAAGGAGGACGGCGAGCGCATGGCGCGGGAGCTTGGTGCGGTCAAGTACGTCGAGTGTTCGGCGCTGACCCAATACAAGCTCAAGGACGTGTTTGACGAGGTAAGCATATTGTACAAGAATGGCTGATGTAAATGCTGACTTGTCCACAGGCGATCGTAGCAGCACTTGAGCCGCCAGCCGCGAAGAAAGAGGGCGGCGAGAGGAAGAAGGGCAAGAAGTGCATTGTCCTTTGAGATGCTTATGCGGCAACTACGAATAACCGCATGCTAGGGAGCGTTGGTTTGCAGATATTCTTTGATTAGGCGTGAATCTTTTGGATACCTCTCGAATACAGGCGCCATTGTGGGTAGTGTTCTCTTTCAATCTGCTCAGTTTCGTTCTATGCGTTTTACTCCATCCCCCGTCAATTGCACGTTACGTTCGAGATGCAACAAGCAGACATGTCTTGATGCTTGGAAAGGCAGGTAAAATGCGAATTAGGGGCTGTCCACTGCGCGCCTAGTGTAACCACTGCGTTACAGCGGATGCCATCTCTTGCTTGATCTCCTCTTGCAAGTCTGCTTCCCCACGTGGGCTACCCCTCTTTTCAGATGAGGTGAACGAGGAGCGCGTTTGCTGTCGTCACTGTTGTTGATGATGTTGTTGCCTTGCCGTTACGTCTTGCTCAACAACGCGATCTCTGTCGTGGACGAATCTCTACCGCAACACCTCCGCAACGCGATAGCCTCCTCTGTTCTCTTATTCATGTGATTTTTGCTACTTGCAAGACTCGAATACTGACGCTTTGGTCGAGACAGGGAATTCTATCATTTCACGCTATCTGAGCTACGACCACTCCGGTTCGACTCTAAGCCTCTTCACCTGCTCAACTCCTCACACTTGGGACAGATCCCCCACTTGGACGAAATTTTGCACCCATGGCGTACCAGTTCACCGAAGAGAAGAAGCGCCCGCCGCCGATTGCGCTCCCGTTGCCGCCGCCTCCGCGCCCTCTACCGTCCATCGACCAGCAAAGGCAGCAAGGACAGCGCTCTACCGACAACACGCCGCTGACCTCGCCTACTGAGTCACACACTCCAGCCTCGGGTTCGGGTAGAAGCCGCACCGCCATGGCTACGTTCACCAATTTAATCGATCAGGCACGTTCTCCCCGCAAGTCAGAGCATGGATCCTGGATAAGTATCAATGCCGGCTCGACGGCACGTTCGAGGCAGTCAGGACGCAGTCAACATGAAGCTGTAGCTGCACAAGCCCAGATTGAAGCTCTCGACGAGGAGACGGCTAGAGGAAAGGTGGAATCTCGCGCTGAGAAAAACTTGTTCAAGATGACGGGTCAAGTTCCGCCCACTCCAATGATTGGTGAGTCTACGGTACTGCGTATACAATCTTGTGCTAAAACTTGTAGATTCGGCAAACGAGGACGAAATCTACATCAGGACGGAAGACCTGCGACGACAGTGCCGGATCGCCAGTGGAGATCAACAGCCAGAACGCGAGGAGCCGCCCAAAAGCCCGAAGAAAAAGCTTTTCCAGAACCTCCGTAATACCTTTTCCAAGTCTTCTAGTGCTGCAGCTCCACCAGCAATGCCAAACAAAGCAGCGCAGGTTTTGGGCACAGCATCACGTCAGGCTCGCATCATCCCAGTCCGCCCCATAAAGCCAGCGTGCCCTGTCGAATCCACCCCTACAAGGACTTCACGCTCAGACACGGTGAAGTCTCTGCCTGCGAAGGTCGTTAATCCTGACAGCTACGCCCATCGCCATCATAGCGGATCTTCGCGTCGCCATCGCACGAGTGGCCGTGGCTCACCGGGCAGAGGTAGCCTGAAGAAGCAGTCGTACAACGTAGAGAACACACGCCCCGTGCCTGATATCAACGAATCGTCCGATTCAGTCATCCCGCCTTCACCACCAGCAAAGGATACTCCGCCACCAGCTGAGAGGCAGCCCAGCCCACTTCGCAGGGCTGCGCCAACGCGTGGTGATTTACGTGACAGCTATTCGGACTTCAACGACAACATCAGCCGTATTCAGTTCCCTAAGTTTGATCTTTCGCCCGTCCGTTCGTCATATATCCTGCCTGGACATGGTGGATTCAGTCCCGCGAAGTCCCGCCCATATACCGCAGAAGACTACACCAAGCTCATAGAGGATGGATCAGTGCAACGGCCCTACCCCAACTGGGACAGTTCGCCAACCAAGGCAGAAGTCAAACACCATGCTCCTTTGGCAGGTGCGGGCCTTGAGTCATTGCAGCTTCCTCGTCCCGACCGCCTGAGGAAGGAGCGTCCGGATACAGCGTCAGAGACCAGCGCTGACGAGGGTCCCGGTCTGCTGCCGCACTTCTACTCTCCATCCCGCATCACTCCTTTTCCCTTTGCTGAAGGCGAGACACCGTCTAAGAATGTAAGTCCGTTATTGCTTCCAATGCCCTTTCTCTCACCTTCCCGAAAAGTGGGGCCTGTCGTCATCTGTCCCTTCAGCGTTTACTTGCCCAGGTACCTTCACACGCAGTACCCCGCTTCTTCCTCTAATGTGCTGGTACAAACGCTAATAACTCTCTCAGTCTGACGAAACGCGCCTTCTCTACTCACACCCCGCAAGGTCACGGACGGTCCTCCACCCTCGCGAAGAGTCGGCCGACGGCTCAATCAAGATGATCTTCCAAGGAGACCGCCAGGATATCGAGCCAAACTCTCCAACTGCTCGCGAAGTCGACGAAAACGAGCAGCTCACTCATGAACGTGATCAGCGCTCCGATGTTGGCATCACAACCCGCGTCATGCAAGAATTGCGTATTGGAGAGCAGAATGAGAACCCACGACAAAGGAACGGCAATCTCGGTGATCAGTCCTCGTCAAGGCTGACTGATATGCTCAATACTGTCAGCCCAGGCCGCAGTGATTCGCACGGCGATTTCCAGCTTTACTGTCCTAGTGCCGTTCCCAGTCCGCTTCACAAGATTTCTGGTCCTCCGTTCTCAGCACGCGCGAGTGTGCCTTCCGGGTCTTACAGCGCAATTACCCAGCCGCTTGCACCCAAGACCATCGAAGACCACTTCTACATGACCAATGAGCACCTCGATGTAGTGGGTAAGACTACTTGGGACGCACTGGAGACGCTCGCCAAGGACCAGGAACGTACATCAAAGGCGAGGCATGATGATACTTTGGCACTGATCAACAGGCGCTTCAAGCAACTCTCATCTCATCTGGATGCTGTCAAGGAAACTGCCAATCGCGTAGAGACTTCCATCGATCGCGTAAGGGAAGTAGCGGACAATCAACACAACATCTACGCAACCGTGAATACCATCAAGGATAGTATCAAGGAGATCATTCCGGACGCGATGAAGGAGCAGGATAAGAAGATGGCCATCATGGAGGCGGAAATGAAGGAAATGAAGCAGATCATTCAGGCTTTGCAAAAGTCCATGGACCAGAAGGCTGCTGAGCCGCCACACACTCCTCAGCCCCCGTTCCCCTCGCACAACCAGCGCTCTCCACACTCTCTGCCAAGTCACTATGGTAACATCCCTGAGGTCGTCCGCGAACTCCAGCCTGTGATGCAGCACGGCATGTCTTCTCCTCAGGACGGCCATAATGACGCTCGTCTTGGCTATCAGAACGGTCATCAGAACGGCAATCATTGGACTGCGCGTCCTGCCTACGCTGGCCGCAACGGCAAGGAAGAGCGTCCATCATACGCTGCAAAACCCTACCTCTACAATAACGGCGGTCAGTACAGCAGTGGCTATTCTGGCGGAGGCTATCCTCCGTTCGGTTACTCTGCGAACTCTACTGACCAGGACTTCGGTTTCAACAACCAGGGTCAGCCAAAGTAAACTCAGCCGACTGCCAACGATGCATTTGGGATTCAGCGATTATATCCAACGGACATGACTAGGGACTTGGAGGAGCTGCTGTACCTGTGAGGGAACATTAGCGCAACTGGGTGACGATGAGTTTTGGCGGCTCTACATGGGAACATTTTGTATCATATTGACTCGGGAGGTATCTTGTTTGCGGATTGAGCGGTATGTGTGCTATCACGGGATACCTTCTTCATTTGAAGTTCACTTCCGACACTTTGACGCGCGGTATCAGCTCTCATGGCTCTGCCGACATCCGCGGATGAGCCACAGATATGTCACAAATGTCACATACAGTATAGGCTGTCTTATGTAGACTGCATTGTGTATTGCTGGGTGATATATCGTGAGGACTTTCATATGCGGAACTCAGCTGGGAGGTGCAGTCATCAATCGACATGGTGTTAAATGTCGACTGCCATGTCCCGAGCCGCGACCTGCATTATTTTTAACCGTACTGGCTTGTAATGGATCACATGGGCAGAGTAACGTATCGGTGGCGCTTCTGAGTCTGCAACCCTCTTCCTCTGGGGTATGCGACATACGACGAGATATATGACAACTAACTCGTAACCAGCGACCTGAGCACGATCGCATAATCAAGTCGTTATAAGGTGCATATCAGGCATGCCAGGTAGTCATATACCCTAGATGACGCATGATGAGATGTGAGTTTTCTCCGATGTCTTCGATGATAGTTTTTGCGGAATTTGACAGCTGTTCTTCATCCCACCTTAGTGACATGGCTGGTAGAGCAATGAACGTCCAGCCCTTTCAAGCGCGATACTCGAATCGGAAATGGCATTCGTCAGGATACTGATATCAAAAACATTCTACAAGCAATGATCGTGGTCACAAGTCATAAAGCCCGTCGTGGTGTCCGTAGAGATCGCTGATGAGGGCGTCCCGAGTAGATGAGTGGCAGTCAAAGGCGCCTTCGATGTGGATGAGTTGAGGCCTTCCCATTAATCGATGGAAGAACAAATTAAGCGATGGCAGAGCGTTGATCGTTGCTGCTCGCTGTGACGATGTTCCTGCTGGTGTTGATGCCCCTCGTGCCTGCCGGTGGAGCCCCGTCGCGCCATTCCCGAAACGGCTAGCCCCACACACGTTCGAAATTGTGTCTCGCTAAGCTGTTGTCGATTTCGCTCTCGCACGACGAAACCGCGATCACTCCCACCCTCGATACTAACAACAGCGTCACCAGGTATGCTCTCCCGATTTGCTGTGTAGATGACCGGTTACTGACGATTCCTCTTTAGTCCCCAGCCAAAATGAGTACGCCGCACTCCCACCCTCACCCGCAACCACGAGCTTCGAGACTGACTGCGATATAGCGAAGGGTACCTCCAGTTTCGGAAAGCGCCACAACAAGACGCACACGCTCTGCAGGCGTTGCGGTACGTGATACCTCCCTGGAAGCTAGCAATGGGAATGCGAAGGCACGGAAAGAGACAAGGGCTAATTCAATGTCCAGGTCAACGATCCCTCCACATCCAGAAGCACACCTGCGCCTCATGCGGCTACCCTGCTGCTAAGACCCGCAAGTGTACGTGTACCTAAAACGCGCACACCGAACGCGAAGATTAACATTGGAACAGTCAACTGGGGTGAGAAGGCCAAGCGCAGGAAGACCACCGGTACCGGCCGCATGCGATACCTCAAGACCGTCAACCGCAAGTTCAGCAACGGATTCCAAACTGGCACACCCAAGGGTGCCAAGGGCCCCACCGTCAAGTCCTCGTAAACGCATGAAGCTTAAGGTTGGCGACGAGGAGGAGTAGAGGCGCGATGAAGGCCATTCGGACGGGTGCATGATCGGAAAGCGGGTTCTTATAGGCAAATGGTATTGCTCGGCATGGGGCGTTCTGTCATCCCTCTCCCGGTTGCTGTCCATCTCGCATCACCAACGAGGATGGCATCACCGTTTGAGCGCAAAGCTCTGGAGGCATAACTACGGAAAATTCATCATGTTCTGTCACGAAATAAAAGCATGAATCAAGCCACCGACTGTGCCAATCAACCGCAGATGATGCACTGATGAGTTTAGGGAAGCGAAGGCTATCGAGGTCGTTAGACGGATATACACCGAGCGGAACACCGAGACCTCTACACGCTACACCGCTGAACGCAAGAACGTACGCAAATGGCTGGCCGATCCCGCGACCCATCACCCGAGTGCAGACGACCGTATCGATTATACCTGCGGATATGCCGACTCAATTGACAAAACACAAACAGGGACACTGCCAGCTGCTATTACCTGATCTTTTTGCCTATCCAGATAAATAAGTCTCGACTAACACACTAACTGTTATACAAACTCCGCACGTGGCCCAAGTCGCATACCTACATGCACCAGTGCTTTGAACACTAATAACGAGTAAACCACAGTCTAGTTCCATCACTCAAAACCACCTCCTCTGCTCGATCTTCGTCCACCACCGCCCCTTCTCACCTTCCTCTCTAGGCCCTACAAACTCCAACACCTGGTTGCCTCTCCCGATCCTGATATCCAAATCAAACATGTCGCTCGCAGTTCTCCTCTCTTCCTTTACGCCGAGGCAAAAGCTCGCCCGCACACCTACACCACCCTTCCTCTCTTTAGCCACGTCACTCAGGAACGGCCCAATGTCCCGCGCAACACGGTACGCGAGTGCAGAGGGTGTGAACTTGGTCCTGAGCTCAACAGCCCATCGATTGAAGTTCTGAGCCCGTGGCACAACGCGTGGATTACCAAAGTTGGGGAACTGACCTGGGTCGACGGGCTGATCATGGGTTGGCGATGCCGGAGGCGTCACAATGGTGAGTGCTGTCGACGAAGGGGACCGTGTATCGATCCAAGACTGGATGATCTCCGTGTCGCGGTAGGAGTCTTCATACCAAGTCATCAGCCAGAATGAGATGACGAGTTGTTTGAGGTTGTCGAAAGAGCGGAGACCGGTAAGAAGAGGGTTGGTGATGGGTGTTGTGTAAGAGAGAACCGGGCAGCCGTTGTAGCCGCAGATCTTGAGCTCTTCAACTGTAGACGCGTGGTGCAGGGCGACGGTCTGGAGAAGGGGCGCTTGGGGTGGCCAACCGTAGCTCGGTTCGAATGTAAAGTCCATGGGCATGGGGAAGCCGCGGCGGTATGCGGCTAAGATGCCCGAAAGGTCTTCGTCTTCAAGGTTGTAGATGAACTCTGAGCCGGATTGCCCTGGGTCAATGGCGCTGAGTTGCTGTCCGCCAGCGCCCCATGTATTCCCTGCTGGAAAAGAAACGCCAATCATAACTATCTTCTTCAGCGGACACCAGTGTAATGCTCGGAGTAGTTCGCGCTTCTCGTCGCGTGGTATGCCGCCTTCTAGCTTGATCTGCTCGACTTTTCGCATGTGAGGCACGAACTCGTCGATGAACCTTCGCCGCCGGGTACGTTCTTGCATGTCTTCTGCCGTCCTGCATATTGCCGTGAATGGTTCCCCAGGCCCTGCATATTGCGTATCGATGCGAAGATCCGTGAGTGTTGTTGCCAAATGGGCCACCAGAGCTCGAGATCGATTTTGAATATCAAGAGATGGCTTGGTGTGGCTGTACATTTTGTCCATCGGCCACCCAAGGCACTGTATCTTAGGGTGCGCCTCGACGAAGTCCAGAAAAGGTCCTTCCATTAGGTAAACGTCTTTTGGGAGTACTGTGGGGGGTAAAACAGCATTGCGAATCTGGAATGCACGCAAGTGCGGGAACCGCAGCCTGCTTAGTGCAGAGAGAAATAATCCAGAGTCGGTGGTGGAACCAGCGAGTTCTGTATCTCTTCGACGCCAGTGTATCCAATCCAGGTTGAGACTGGTGAGATTGGATGCGGAGCACGCGATTAGCCATTCCATTGGGGGGCTTGAGTCAGGCACGAACTGTCCAAGTGATGTAGGCTCGGAATGCACCGGATTGTCATCGATGTAGTCTCTAATCTCAGGGAGTTCCTGCCACATGATAGCATCGTATGCTCTGGCCTTTTCCGTTAACTCTTCTGTTGAAGACCGCGGCCAGCGTTCTGGCAGACCTTCGTGAGAGAAGTGGATAGTAGTTCCAACAAATCCTCCTGCGCCATTATGCATCTGGTAGTATTGTCCGCCACGGGAAAGCTTGAACTCGGAAAACTGTAGCCCCGGACATTGTGTTTGATCTGACATGTCCTTTCCAAGCCTGCGCAGCCGAATGCTCTCGAGCCCAGTAGCTTTGTTTGGTAGAAGCCGGCATAGCTCAGTCTTGTTGAAGCTGCAGCTCTCAAGCCAGAGTTTACGAAGAGGAACACGTCGTGGTCGACCTTGGTCAAGGAAACCCGTGACGAGTGCGTTCGTCAGCTTGTAGTGCCCGTACACAATCCGCAGTGTATGCACGTTGATCAAATTCCGTATGGCAAGCTTGATGAGTATGTGTAGTCGATCGTCTTGTGAGAGGTTATCGGCGTCGAAGCGCATTCGTGGGAGTTCGCTGAATATGTTCGGAGACGGCAGGTGACATCGATGCGACAGTGTCTGGACCTTGGACGCGATCGTAGGGTTACTGACACGTTAGCATGGTTCTCGTGAAAGACTTGAAATACCTACGTCGCAAGTATAAACAGTTTCTGAATGATGGGTGTGTCGTCGTGCTCATCTGGCTCACCACGACCGCGTTCGCCCCATACCTTGTCTGTGTCTTCGTTCAAGTGCAGCTTCCACTGGTCGACCAAGCAGACATGACGCCACAATAGATCCGTGGCATGTTGATGGAATGTCTGTGAGACTTGAGCGACGTGTTTGAGCGTAGGGGTGTCGAGGTAGGCAACGATGAGTTGGAGCAATTCGCTGGGTAGAGACTGTAGCTTAGAAACGAATCAGCGCATGTTCGCAAATGTAAATAAGGGTAGAAGACGCCGAGTACGCGCGCACTGTGGAGATAGCACGTGTAGAGCGGACCAGGCCTGCCCACGGGTATCATTGTACATACAGAAAGTG